AAAAAAGAAAAGCTTATATTAAGCTTATAGGTAGTAAAGGCTATTATATTAGTAATATAAAATAATTTAAAAAAGAAATAAAAAAAGATATATAAAAAAAAGAAAGTTAGTAAGCTTTATAGGCTTATAATAAAAAGAAAGTAAAAAGTAAATAATTAATAATTAATAGTAAATTAATATATAAAGTAAGGTGTTTTTTATAGTTAGATAGGGGACTTTTTATATAGTAATAAAGTTAATTTACTTATATAAATAATATAAATTTACGCTACTCTTACTATATTAAGGAGATATAACTACTAAGTAATATAAATTAACCTATAATAGGTATATAGCGTAATCTTATTATAAAGGTATTTATAAAAGGATTTTTTAGTAAAGCCTACTCTAGGCCTTTATAAATAATTAATAGTAAAGAATTACCTCTTCTTATATTACCTTACTAATCTATAGTATTTTATAGTAGTAGTTACTATAAAGTTAACTACTAATTAGTGTTAGTTTTACTAAGGTAGTAATATAGTTAACTATATATATTAATAGGTAAGTAATAAATAATAGGGGTAAATACTAGTTCTAAATTATACGTAAAGAAGGAAAACTATTGTAGGATTACGTAGCGAATTCACTACGTAATATCCCTGTGGATCCGGTGGATCCACAGCAAATTGGCCGTAGTTATTCCGACCGATCGGCGTTAATCCATATCGCCGATATCCAGGCGATGGTCAACATCGCAACAAAAAAGCAATCTTCATGCCAAAGGGTAAGATATGCATGCACATACCTCGCTGACTTGTTTGCTAAGCACCTGGCATGCCAGACTGCCATTACCACTTCGCCCATATGGTATCTTAGAGACAAGCATGCTTACCTGAACCCCGAGCTCTTTGACCCCTATCGCTGGATCAACGAGGACGGTACGTTTCTTACCAATGACGCGCTCCGAGACAAATTTTACGTCCCATTCTCTAAAGGATCCAACGTGCGCATTGGCAATCAGTAGGTCTCTGTGATGCTGAGGAAATCAACGAAACACTAAGGCAATCCGGTTCTATCTTCTATTACTTTGAGCTATCTCTAAGTCTGACTATGATGGTGGGGAACCCCAAGCTCGTCCATATGGGTAAGTATGGATTTGGACCAGTGGCTGGGCTGAACAGCTCGGACTGGCAACCAGTGCAGCTTCCCAAGAGGAGCCCATGGGGAAAGACGCATTTACAACAATCTATATCAGAAGCATCATGCCACCCCACTCGATCTAATTGGACTTATCAATTCTTATGCATCAGACCAGCTAATATCGCGTAGGTGGAAGCAGATGAGCTCATTAACTCGAGGCTCTGTTTGTTATCATGAGCATTGCATTGCGCAAGTTTCGGTCAAGAGAAAGGCGAAAGCCGGATGGATATACGGTGTCATCACTGTGGTTCGTGATTATCGGTTTATTACCATATAAGCCACCCCAGGTTTTGCTATCTCTTCCTCGGGTAGGAGTCTGTAGTCAAGGCGACCATTGGGGGGGGTACCTGACCTGACCTTACCATTGGTGGGGCAAAAGTACCGTCCACAAACTAAGCCGAGTAGAGTTAGTACATAGGGTCGGCTAGGGTTCGGTTAGGGTTAGGGTTAGGATTCGAGTTAGGGATTGGTTCGGGTAATGGAATATGATATTAATCCGGGCAAGCCTACACCCTGGTCAGGTTATCAGCAATGGTCAGGTCAGGTCAGATACCCCCCATAATGGTCGCCTTACATGTAGTCTCGGTAGGGTAGCTCTCATGTTTAAGCGAGCTTTTGATTGAAATCCATGATTATTTTGAGCGCCCATCACTCCCAGTCTGATCGGCAGTGGTGTTACAGGATTTGCAGTAGGTATTACTGTCTGTGTGTGCGGACAGTTAATATGCCAAAACGCCACCTGTGGACCTCACTGTCTTTCCACAAGGATTACAATCCTATACGTCAATCTTAAATTGTAGGCCTGCGTTTCTCGCTCGATACGGACAGTGTACCTAGTGGTTCGAGCATCCTTTGCGGACCGAGATATCAACGGTCATAAGGAGTTGCTGCCCAGCTGCCGTAGACGCCCTAACCGTAAGAGGATAGTTTTGAACTCTGACAGTTCGCAGACCGAGGTCGTTCAGACCGAGGTGTGGAGGTCGGTGGGTGGTGCGCCACCAAATTGGATAGGCATCTGTTTCATTTCTCAGCGGAGACGCTTCGTCACGCTCGGTGCCTTGGCCACAATAGTCTTTAACTAAACCTCGAGCGACCGAAATCAGCTGGTCACGGCTCGGAAAGATTAACAACACACGGATACTTGAACTAATTTCTCTGGCACATCGTCGCTAGGATGCCACCCGAACAGAGGCCCCCTGCCGATCGCGGAGCCGTCGCGTCCCATGACGGCGACGCGACCGAGACGACGCCGTTGCTGATCGCCAACGACATCGCTCCAACCGCCGATCCCGACGTGGCCAAGGCGACGACGCTCCCCGAGCCGGACCGGCGCGATGACGATCCGGAGGACAAACCGCTGCCAGGCTGGCAGATCTTCCTGCTGTGCTACGCCCGGTTGGTCGAGCCTATGGCCTTCTTCTCAATCTTCCCGTACATCAACCAGATGGCCCAGCAGAACGGTAATCTCGCCGACACGGATGTCGGCTTCTACAGTGGCCTCATCGAGTCGCTCTTCTCCCTGACGCAAGCAATCGTCATGATCTTCTGGGGCATGCTGTCGGATCGGGTCGGCCGCAAGCCCGTCCTCGTCTTCTCCCTCGTCGGCGTCACGCTCGCCACCTCCATCTTCGGCATGGCCCGGACGATCTGGCAGATGGTCCTGTTCAGGTGCCTGGCAGGCGTGTTTGGCGGCACTATTGTCACGATGCGCACCATGATTGCTGAGCACAGCACCCCGAAAACCCAGGCCAGAGCCTTCAGCTGGTTCGCTTTCAGCGGCAACCTCGGTATCTTCATCGGGCCGCTCCTGGGCGGCGCTCTTGCCGACCCTGGGCACCAGTACCCGGGGTTCTTCAAGAATCGATTCTTCCTTGAGTATCCTTACGCGCTGCCAAGTTTCGTGGTTGGCTTCCTCGGCTTGACAGCCGCTGTGACCTGTTTTATCTTCGTCGAGGAAACGCTCAAGAAAGAGCCTCACAGCAATGATGACAACAGCTCGGCAACGCCCAAGAAGGACACACACTCCATCATTAAACTTGTCAAGTCCAACGGCGTTGGCATCGTCCTCTTCGTCTACGGCTATCTCATGCTCCTCGCATTCGCGTATACGGCCATAGTCCCCGTCTTCTGGTTCACACCCGTGTCGCTTGGTGGCTATGGATTCACCCCTTTGCAAATATCAATCATGATGGCGGTCAACGGCATTGCCCAAGCCCTGTGGCTCGTAGTAATCTTCCCTCCCTTGCAGCATCGCATGGGGACTAATGGCGTCCTGCGTGCGTGCTCGTACGCCTATCCCTGGTTCTTCCTTATCTGCCCGCTCGGAAATTTCGTCCTCAAAGCCGGCGTCAACAACCCCGGGGCAATCACTTGCTTCTGGATATTTGTGCCCATCAGTCTTGCCATTGGCTCCGGGGTAAGCATGGCCTTCACTGCCATCCAACTGGCACTCAACGACGTATCGCCCAGCCCCCAGGTTCTTGGAGCGCTCAACGCTCTGGCGTTGACTGGCGTCAGTGTCATCAGGGCCTTCTCGCCAGCACTATACACGAGTCTATTCGCCATTGGGGCGCGAACTCAGTACCTCTGGGGCGAGGCAATCTGGGTTCTCATGATTGCACTTGCAGTGGGCTTGATCTTTGCAGTGAGACAACTTCCCGAGGAGGCGGATCTGAAAATGGTCAGAGAACAGGAACAAGCCGAACAAGACCAGTAGATTTCCCCCAGCCTGCACACGCTAGGGTCAGCATCTGCCTTATGTACACAACCTTTTCATATTTCATGTCACTAAACTACTCGATGACGTTGGTAGTTATTGGGCGCAGTCCGTCATACGCCTGACTGGATGAGGTGCACCGTAGAATCATGACATGGAATTGTGAATGATCTCACAAAAAGCCCCAATGCGAATGAGACATTCGATAAGCCACTCGAATACGTCGAGTGTCAACCCTAGGTACAGTATTTCAGATTCTTCAAACTTTTCATGTCTCGATCACATGTGTTGTGAGTTGCGTTTACTAGTAATAACTATCTATGTGCCCGCAGGCATTCTAAACTCGAAGACTATACGTCAGAACTGGGGCTTCGCGACGTAACCAGATGGTCGGAAGACCCGAGTGCTCAAGAAATCGCCTGCTGGGGCATTCAACTGCCAGCGTGACATATTGCGAGTACGATGAGTTCGTAGAGTCGGCGCCCATTCGCCCCGTCCTTGGAGTCCCCTACGCGTGCATGAGTAGAAACATGACTAGACAAGGGGCCATGGCAACCCTGACTGCGGGGACCAAGCAGCAGTGAGCGTCGTGAGCGGCGCCACACCGTGCTCGGAGTGCAGCCTGTGATTCCAAGACATTGTTCTTCTAACTCGCCACACTAAATTTCGCTGTCCACGTATATATGACCGCTAAATAAGCAATATACTCTTGCCGATTTCAATTCGAGTGATCACCACGAATATTTTGTCCGGAAAAGAAAAGGAAAAAAAAAGAAGAAATCGCAAGAGGTTCCTAAATGAGCGGGCTGAGGCGACTTTGGCACTCGTCTCCATGGACCCTGGCCGACGGGTGCACGCATCCGCATCTCAGGTAGGTAGGCCAAGCCCCCTGCGTAGGCTACAAGGGCACGATTCAACGTGCATATGGGCCCCAGGAATCGGTCTAGTTGTAGGTATGTTGCTCAGGATGGATGTGATGAGAATGCTCATGAACTGTCAAACCGGTTTATTCATTTGGGGTGGGTATTCTCGTGAACTACTAATATAGGTATTATGCAACGTACAAAGGGAAAATATCTTGGGTATTTCACACATGCTTGCCTCATGGCAATCCGGACCTCCGTTTGCTGCTGGGTTCAGGAATCATTGATTCCGGCTCCACCGGCTCCGTAGTTATTTCAATTTCACGGTGCTGCCAGATCATATTGTTCGACTGAGAATAGTTCGAAGTGCTCTGCTGCCTCGTGAGTCTTTTTCCGTGGTAATAGTCCCTTGCCGACATATTCTGGTCGCGTTCTCGGAAACTCGAGGCGCCGGGACTTTTGATCGTCACGCTGACGCTGTTTTGAGGGGTTACGTCCACCTCGTTCGAGCTGCGGGAGCTGCGATCGTCGTCGCCTCCGCCCATTGTCCTAAGTCCGATACCGTACTTGGCCTCTTCGCGGAAGTTGTTGGCTTTGTTGTTAGGCTCCGAAAGCTTTGACCAGTCCTTGGAGCCGTCGCGGGCTTGGGAAGCGGTTCCGGATCGTTGGCCGCCGCCGATAGTTAAGGCTGCTGACCTCGATCCCGATTTCTTGTTCGTAGATATGCTCCGAGCGTACTTGTCCAGTCCACTACGCTGAGCAGTGTCAAGCAATCCTTTCCACAATAACCGGACAATGGGACCCTATAATTACTTATTAGCTTTGTATTCGGAACACGACCTTTCCTTGATCTTGACTAACCAATGTCGGTAAGCACGCTGAAACTATTCCACTGCTTAATTCAATAATGTTCCATGCAAGGCCTTGCGCAAGCGAATCTCGAGGTATGTCAGTTCAGCGCTTTAGTAGCTTGTTCAGTAATGGCAACTTACATGGTACGTCATCTGGTGTGTACCCCAAAAAAATCTTGAAGCGGTAGATACTGCAGAAGACGACATAACTCCCAAGCAGGAAAGTGAAAAGAACCAGGACTCGCTGGGCTCTGTTCATCTGAAGTTTCAAGACATGGGGGATCGGGAGGTAGAGAATTGCGATGTCGACGATAATGCTGGGTACGGAGATACACAGCTGGGTCAAGAAGAGGTTGATGCAATAGCCTGGCCTCCAGGGTTCCCATACCTTGACGATTGGTAAACATTGAATAGAGGCGGCGATGACGCAGGCCAGCGTCCACCCGGTTGTTAAGCTGCCGCAGATCAAAGCTCCTTTTCGAACTTCGCGCATCGGGAAGATGCGTAGGTAGAGAAGCAGCAGTGCGACCTTGTACATATTGACACCGTTGACGTACAATATCTCGGCGCCTATCATAGTTCTGTTGAGGAACTGCGTTTGCTCGAGATTTAGGCGGCCCGAATGCAATCCAATGCCGCCTTCCACCACTACATACACTGTTAGCTGGGCCCGTTACACCGATCGTGTGTCCACTCACAAATCAAGTTCATAATCATATTCCCGATCAAGATGGCCAACGCCGCCAACATTGTGTAATCGTCGATTAGGTACTTGGCATTTTGCAAATGACGCGAAGTGAACCGCAAGCCAACCACCACGGTGGCAAGGACGGTAAAGGCGATTGTGACAGCTCGAACATATGAACGCATATCCTCTTCGAGATTCTGCTGCTCGGCGAGATCGGCCAACTTCTTCAGGTACCCTCGCTCGGGTTCGTCAATCGACATGTCGTCGTACGGATAGTACGCCATCATGGCGGCGGCTGCCATGGTGGGCTGCTGGATGGCCACGCGGGCTGTTTCTTGAGTGACGCGGTCGATAAAAACGGGTCGGGTCGTCGACGGCGTTCCGGAGGGGCGGCTTAGATGAACGCGTCTAGATGGGATAGCACGTCGGGACGGAGCATCGTTTTATTCTGAACAATCTTAGATTTTACGCAAAATTTGGTACCCAAACCGCCCCAACTTCACAAAGGACATCAAGTATGTGGGCCCAGCTGCTAAACACTTCTGCCGTCACATATTGGACCCATGCATGGTAGTCGGTACGGTGGGTGGCATCGTTCGAATATTAGTTTCTTTTGTCCATAGTGTATAGAGAGATACTTTACGGAGTACTCCGTACTTACTACGTAGTCTAGCTATCTATTGCGGCTAGCCCTACTATTACATGGTCTTGGTGGTGTGTCCAGGATGTACGGAGTATCGACATGCTTAGTTCAATAACCGTAGCAATTGCAACCTACAGGTACGTAGTAATCTAGGAGGGGGGCCGCTTTGACCTCTCGGCATGGACTGGACGAGGCAGATTAAGGGGAACGGAAAGACAACCGGCCATGATCCGAGTATCCACTTAACCACTTAGGTACTCTGTCAATCTTGACAGTTTCGGGAAGGCCACGGGGGTGAATCGGACGGTTGTGGGTTTTCTTGAGGGCGAAGTCGCAAGAGCTGGAGCGTATTATATACATGTAAGCCTTGCCCACCACCACATGTCACATCCTCAAGCTCAACCCCATGGGTAGGAGCCATACTTAGGCCTGAGAGAAATAAATGAGAAGAACCAGGGCGACACGCGGTCCCCTCCAGACCCGTTAACTAATGCTTACTTGAGCCGTTGGAACACACCAGTTACGCGATAACCAAAGGGCTTGTGAACTTGTACCCAGTATCATCCCCACGTCAAGATCCTCCTCGCACGTGGGCTCTGAAAAGAAAAGAAAACAAATGAAAAAGTGCCGGTTTCTCGGAGGCACCTCGCTTGTAGCATTGACCCCGAACTCGCGGCATGCCGCAATGGCTTGCCGTTCCCCTTTGATCGTCGGCAAGATCCATGCTGATACAGGGATGCCACAGACAGCTTGCTGCCGATTCTGCGGCAATTGTCAACTATAGCTTCGGTTTCTATATGCTGTCCCGGGCGGTAGCCGTGCAAAACGCGGAATGCGGATGGGACCTCTGGCGAGTCAACAACCCTGTGATCCGGTGCAAACTACAAGGTATGTAAGAGCAAGATGGTGGACCGCGATCCCTTTCTGCGCATCATTATCGTCAAACTGTCGCTGCATTCAGCCCACGAAGGAGATGCTTGACTCAAATATGCATGTGTCAAGCGGCGGCCGCGCATACGGGGCCCAAGGCGATACAGCACGTTGATAATCCGAGGCGATTCGCAGTCCCACACGCTGCAACTTTGGTTCCGCTAGATCGAGTTGGGGGCCTTGCTCTTGCGCCATTCTCCGTTCACTGATCCGTTTACATATGGGTCCCATTCCTCGCCCCTTTTCATAGTGTACCAGAGGGTTCTGGGATAACCCACCGCCAACGTTGGGCCCGTTGTGGATAACTGAGGGGCAACACACCGTGACACCATGAGTCTGGCACTAGCGAATCGTGGCCGCGTGGCAATGTCCGATATTGTTCCTGTCTTGGTATCTCTTCCGCTACCTCGGGTTTTGTAGTTCGCAGAGGCTGTCATTTTGGCCGTTTCCGCATTGTTTGCGGGGACCGAAGGGACAACACTCATGCTTTGGTTTCTTGAAGAAACAGTACTTTAGAGCCGTCACTTGTCCCTCATACTCTTGCTGTCGATCAGGCCATCCTTTCTTTTTGACCTGAGCCCCCTAATACACTCTTTTACTGTTCTCCGGTATTTCTGTCACATCTCGCAATGAAGCCGTCCGTTCTCATCGTTCCTGGCGCTTGGCAGTTGCCGGTGGCCTTCCAGCCTCTTACCGCCGAGCTGGCCAGTGCCGACTTCAGCACATCTGTCGTATCTTTGCCCACCGTCGGAGGCACCACGAACCCGCTGCCTAACATGTCTGACGACATTGCAGCTGTTCGCACCGAGCTCGACAAGCTCGTCTCCGACGGCAAGGAGGTCGTCATTTACTCCAACTCTTATGGTGGAGTAGTTGCCAGCAACGCTGTTGAAGGCTACGACGTCGCTACCCGCTCGGCCTCCGGCGCCCCTGGCGGTGTCGTGGGCATCGTTTATGCTAGCGCGTTCATGCTCCCTAAGGGTTCCAGTCTGCTGGATCTCCTTGGTGGCCAGCCTCTCCCGTGGATGATTGTCGAGGTACGTGTGATGTGATCGGACCCTTGTTGTTTCGGCCGTCAAATGAAATGCAGAACTTACTAACCCATCGGCAGGGAGACCGCGTTGTCGGCAACACAAGCATGCTTCCCGAGGTTGCTTTCAATGACATGCCGCCCTCGGAGCAGGAGAAGTGGTCCAAGGAGATGACCTGGACCTCCCTGAGCGCCTTCACCACCCCGTCTAGCTACGAGCCGTGGAGCAACGGCATCGACTGTGCCTACCTCTACGGCCTTCTGGACAACGCTCTGCCCCTCAGCTACCAGCAGGCCATGTCTGCGGTCCTCCCCGCAGGCTCCAAGACCGAGAGCGAGCCCAGCGGCCACTGCGCTCACCTGAGCCGGCCGGCCAATGTCACTTCCATTCTGAGCAGATGGTTCCCCGGCAACTAGGTAGTACATGACGAACGGCAAGGCAAACGACTTTGGATGTTATGATGGAGACAAGGGCATGCGGTGATGGAAGATACACGAGACAAATAATCCAAACAATCAGTGTTAACGTTGTTACATAGTCGTGCAGTGGGTCCCAATGACCCGTACATAACTCCTGTCAGTGCACAGCGTCAAATGTTTATAGTGCACGGATACAATGAACGGGAGATGTCCGACTAGGTTGATGCTTGTATGGCATATATTCGAGCAAGGAGCTGCCGGCTTCATCGCATCGTCACTTTCTCAAAATAGGGGTATCCATTTTGACGCCCCGAACATCTACCAGGCCACAATGAAGAATCTGATCTCTGGGATGCACCTTCACGAGTCGTGGGCCCGTTATTGGTGACCCTCACTATATCAAGGGGAGCCTGCAATACCGGGTGATGTTCAGTCGAATACAGGTATTCCCTGGCCATCTTGTGTAATTCTCAGATGAAGCACGACTACCAAATCTGCATGATACTGTTTGATCACTATTACGAGCAGATATTCTAACCAATAAAGACGAACTAACCACAAGGATAGCCTTTCGAGATCCGTCCCTATCAGATCCGGCAAGCCACTTTACTGATGTTTCGGAGGATATCTGAAGGGCACAGACACGCAATAAATGTCCGGAATGCTTTTACAATGGACGTGATCAATTGAGGTACTCTGATTCTTGCTAAGTCACTATGGCTAGTATCTTGTAAGTCCATCTGGTCTTGGCAGCGAAGAAAGGAAAAGAGGGGAACAAAGAAAAGCGCCGTTAAGAAAGAGTCCCCCCACCCTGTTGAAGAATTCGCCGACGAACGTTCTTACCCGAGTCAAGTCATCATGAAAATCCTCAATACGCCAACTGCTTAATCGAGGGCTTCTTGCATTTCAGTGGCGCGAGAGTTTCTCCATGACAAGCGTTGCATCCAGAAGAAGTCACGCATAAGGCCAGCCATAAGGCCAGCCGCTTACCCCTACGTGCGCCTCCCAATACTCTCGAGCAGGGTCATACCAGATAAGGGCGTACCCATTATTCATTTATCAGAACGTTGTTATCTTTAATCCGTGAGCCGGGATCATCCTTCAACCCTGCAGCAGGGACAAGCCGTTCATCTGTAATATGGTGGACTATTGACAGGGGTGCACCCGGCAACAGCCGTCTGCGAAGCCATGATAGAGCAAGTGGTCCGATGAAGAGGCACTACGCAGGGCCCGGTGATCAGTTGAAGGTGGGACTTCAGTCAATACTATCACTGGCACTTGTTGATTACTGTATATGTGAGATAGTATAGCCGAGGCTCACGGCGATACTACCTACTGGAGTGCTTAGAATGCTATCATGGCTCCGCTTTGAAGTTACGGTATCTCTCCAGGTTTAAAGATATAAAACGCATACTATAAGGTGGATGAGGTGAGTCCGTCTCTGTTAGAAATTGTCGGGGCATTGTGTCCAGAGTCATGCTATGTACAGAGGTAGTGATTTCTGGGAGGACAGAACATTGGCTGGAGATTCAAAGCTAACAAAGACTGCAACGCTGCCACGAGGTAGAGTGCTTTTGTGAGAGGCAAGGCACAGAATTATTTGACAATTGTGCTGTTTCGGTCTCTTTTCATTTCCTGGAAAAAATTGGGATCGCCCACCAAGTCTGCAAAATTGCCCATGTCCGTCTGCTAACGCTTTCAGGGACGAGAAAATGTTGCGGGACGTATCAAGCAAGAGGAGAAGTGAATCTGAGTGATTTGCTGGGCCTGAGAGATCAAGGTCAGGATGACCTTGCCAACTTTTTTGGTTTGTCATGGCCATGTAGATACGAAGCGTTACATACATGTAGGGAGAAATAACGGTTGCCGGTAGAATGCCAGTGTGCTTTTGGTAGTCTGCCAGTAATTTAAGCCTATTTTGGAAGGTACTGCCACAACCGCCACCGCCACAGTCCATAACCCATGCGAAAAACGCCCTTTTTGCCGCAAATCCACCATCGCCAACAGACACCCACAATGCATTGCCGGCGAAGTTGCTGCTGCCGCCACTACAGCCGTCGCTGCTGCTGCCATACAGGCAGTATAGGCAGGATTAATTTGGGCTGTAGATGGTCACGTGATATAACGAAGTTTTGAATAAATCGCTATTGTTGCCTCTATTTGCCTTAAATAATTGCCTAGCCTTGAATTGCTTAAAACCGAGGAGTTTTCAACTTTGCGTAACTATTATGGGTCTGTAGTAAATCCGATTGTCTGATTGGCTGGGTAGGTCACTGGCAGACTACCAAAAGCACACTCGCATTTTACCGGCAACCGAAATAACAGAATACTACCTGTGCACTTTTTGTGGAAAAGCCCCTTATATGCCTTCTGATAATTGTATTGGGCGGGTCACACTTTTCTCCGCATTTGTGGCCGTGCGGCGTCTATTTACTGGGCAATCGGGACGATTACCCGCTCTGTAGACATCAGTGCGCGTATGGGAAATCGTCGCCGGATGGCGATTGCTTCACTCCTATCGGTAAGAAGCCGCAGTGGGCCTCCAGAACACGTACCCTGTGTTTCTCCAATCTGAACTCGCGCGGTACGTCCGAGTATTATATCCTTATAAGATCATTATAGCTCTTATGAAGAGGTCTCGGATACCCTGAACCATCCTTAACTGAAGTCCGAGTACGGTACACGGCGATTTCTCGTAAGGTTGCAAAGGGGCACGATAGTAATCTATACAGTCATAAAAACGCATTATAAGCGTAATACCTAACATGTAACGCTATGCTTGTTCCCTTAGCCTCTACGGTTAAGGTTAATTTTTGGTGAACATCAATATGATAGCTGCGTACGTTTGTATTGTGTTAGAGTATCACTGTTCGTCATCTACCTATGTGACCTTCCCACCTAGCAGGAACAGCCTTGGATATGTCCCTTAATGGAGGTTTCAGATATAAACCAGGTTCAATGCGTCCTAAACCTTGTGTTTTTTCTTGACTCGAAACCACCTGATAAACTACGAATTCCAAGTGTATAGATCAATACAATTGGAGCAGACTTCGAATCGACAGAGAAATGGTATGCTGAAATTGTCTCTACCAGTGTCGAACCATATAAACGGCTTACTATCTACATACAAACTCTTGTGGAGTCTTCGATGGCTGCACCTCCCCACCTGCCGAGCTTATACTATTGGAATAGTTATCGTATGTGGTTTCAGTCATGAATGTTTAATCCAACCAGTCGATGCCTCGTTTCTTTTGGAATGCACCCGTCCTACGGCGGCTTTCTATTCTCGCGACGCTCTCCTCGAGATTCTTTAACAAATTTTTGCTGTCTTTAAGTAGTTTTCCCCCTGTCAGCCTCAGGAACACATCAAAGATTCCAAACTTGACGAGAATCCATGTCTCAGAGTACTTGTATGCGGACCAGAGCACCCTCCGTGGGTACATCCAGAAGGTGAAGATGATAGAGACAAGAATCACACTGGCGGAGATTAGGACTGGTATGACATTGGTCAGAAGTTGGTTATAAGAGATGGCGGTTAGACACTTACACATGTAGACTGCTTGGTCACCAAAAGTCATATTTGTATCATGTTGTACTACATACTACATAAGGCGTTAATTGCTACTTGTAATAAACAGCGTTGTTTTTATAACAGTTATAAGCCTAGTTCGCTCTAGTGTGCCATAATAGCACTAGCCCTAGAGTTTAGCGTCTAAGCGTCATAGACCTTACAGGTTTAAATCCCGCGCAAGCCATAGATAGGGAGCGTTTTAACTCCAGTAAATACAAAGTGTCTTAGAAAGTAAGCCTAGGGGGGTGGCTATGATGGCTTCCCTGTTAACCTAGTAATGGCAGCTAGATTACAAAGATAGATCTCTGCGATCTGGGGGGGTGTGTTGTACTACATACTACATAAGGCGTTAATTACTGCTTGTGATAAACGGCGTCGTTTTTGCAACATGTCACCAATGTCTTTATTGTTCATACCAAAGACGCTTGATGTGAATGATATGGGGAGCTACCTTGTGCTACAATTAGGACAATAGAATGCAGTGGCTGGCAGCCATGCTTCGCGACAGATAGAGAAAAGAGGATATCGATGGGTGGAGAAACTTACAAATATGATGGTGATAAAAATCATGACGGATCGCCCCTGACGAACACTTTTGTCCACCTGTCGTGCTGACCGCCACGCCTGCAGGATACTAGCCTGCTGTTGTTTGAGGTCTCGAAGATCTTTGATATACAAAAAAGTTGTCAAGTCAGCTCTATCAGACATTCATTTCTGAGACCTAGGATCGCCTTACCCTATGAGAAGTATTTTCGGCGCTCTTGCGCAACCCCTCAAGCTCAGCGATTGTGTCTCCGACATCTGAGATCAAATAATAAGCTATCACAGCGGATACCGTCAGCCACACCACGTGCCATGTCACATGGACGAGCTCGAGGGCCCCCTTTATATGGGCCCTCCACCCGTGGGATTCTTCTTCCGACAATACAAGCCTTTTCTTCATTCATTCGTATGACCCTATCTGCTGTGTGCTCTAGCTCGTGAAATAAGCCTGTTTGCGGAACCAGGTGAACTTGTCCTTCTCCCTCTCCCGCTGTTGTTCGTCCATTTTGTTCCTGGCTTTCCGATTTGTACCCGTGCTCGGGGGTTCGCCATCTGCTCCTGACATAGACCTTGAGCGCAGATAGTGCGGTTCCCCCCCATTGGGGCTCGGCTTCTCATCCCGCCATGTGCCACTCAGGCCATAGGTGTTCTCGACATTCTGCATGAACCTCTTCGTAATATCCCTCTGCTACTTAACAACGTAGATCATCATGTCCAGCTTTTTCAATGATGTCACTGATCTCTCGCTGCAGTTTTCCCTCTTGGCTGATGCTGAGTAACGGGGCAGTGTGAAGGTGGGCCGAGTCCTCATACTTGGGCTTGGAGCTGAGGATCTTCGAGGCACTATCCGTCCAGTGACATAGGTGCTGGAACGACATCGTTTGCTTGTTTTGCTACGATAAAGTCAGCATCCTTTGATCTCGTCCCTTCTCGGGGTTGCTCAGAAGTGACCTACGAGGTTACCAATTGACTCTGCGGAAATGTTCAGGACTTAGGGATGTCGATCCTTCTGGATGTCAGTCGTCTGGCCCTTTGCCCTATTACGTTTATTTGCTTACTGTGGTTCTAGTGTGATCAAAGAACGTGTTCGAACATTCATCCAAAATGATCAGGGCCACATCGAAGACGGATCAAATCTGATTCTTTGGGGGATTCTTGACCCTGGTTTGAATCGACCTGTGCAACCCGGAAGATTCCGACTCGGTTGTTCTGCACATCTTCGGTAAACTTGTGATCATGGTCAGCCATGACGATCCGTGCCACTTTTCGAATCTCTTCTCTGCAATGATCGTACACTATGCCGTTGTCGTCTGCCTCGTTCCAGTGACCGTCCCATTTGTAAAGGCCGATACGACTTTCGGCCTCTTGCTCCTCCGGAGCCTCAGCAGACGCACACTTCTTGCGGTCCAAGAGATTCCTTAGGTGCCAGGCGTGCCTCTGGCCTTTGCAATCATATCGCAGTTCAAGGAGTCTATGGATGCCTCTGTCGTCCATCGTTGTACAGCATTGTCTGGGTTATCTTCCGGCAGCCTGCCGGATGATACCCTCTTTCTTGACTATGCCTAAACGAGACCAGCTTTCAGGTGGCGGCAGCCAGATACGGAACTACTCCCGTCCTGTCGGCCAATGACCCCTAGAATCATACAACCTGATCCTAACGTGTTGGTTGTCAGAACGGATTCTCGAAAAGTTTCGACCCATCCCAACGGCGACTGGCAAATGCCAATGAAGTCAATGTACATCTGCACTAGATATTGTGTTATCAACAACCACTAAAACAAAGCCAAGAAGACGAAATCTGTACTTCTTAGTACTGAAGTTTGACTGGCATGAACATCTGAAGATGAACACAAACCGACATGGCCGGTTGGCCCAATGGCAAGGCGTCTGACTACGACTAAAAAATCAAAGTCTCAATCAGGAGATTCTGGGTTCGACCCCCAGGCTGGTCAACTTTTTGTGCTGGGTTTCCGCCCACCTTTTATCTCGGCTTATTTATCTACACACTCGTCGCAGCCCCTCCCTTCTCTTTTTTGACTTTTTGTGTGTAATTCCTTCCTCTCTGATTGCTGTGGTCTATCTATCTGCGGGGGCGGGGTCGGGGTAGGCGGTCTATTATCTCCGCATCTTGGGCCCCATTTGGCTGCCGGTAAGTAGTCTAAGTCTGACCCTCTTAGGTTATGGATCAAAGACAAGTAAGTATCCACGATACATACGCTTCAAGATTGCATGATACAAAGAAAGAAATCCCGGATCCATTTTCTAGGGTATTTGTATACTCACTGACTGGGTTTCTTTCCTATTGGTCGGCGGACAACACATTGTCTTTAAGAGACTACTTACCTAATTTAATACCTTGAATGAGAGGTATCAATGTTGACCGTGCCCAGTAGCACATCAACAAACGTCGTATCGGCGGTTGAATTGGGGTTAAAATCCTAGCACTATGTACACATATCGATATCACCTGGGTACACGTATGTTATTCATCTGCATATACTAGGATGCGCGTTACTTAACTCTGCATTGCGAAACTAAAAGCTAGTAGTAGACGCTTATCAGTAGAGGAGAGTACCGTAGCCACTGGGCAAATTTGCTACTGGCAAATGCACGTACTAACCATAAAGAGTAGCGCGGCCGCTCGGAAGACTAAACCTGTCAAAGAAGGCGGTCAGACTACCTACCCACTTACTTGCCTGCTGTCCATGTGCATACCTACTGTTATAATGCTTTTACTATTACTAGATTCCTGTTTCTGCCAGAACACTAGCCCTTATTTGGCAGCCGCTATACTCTTTCTGACTAGCACATGCATTAGCCAATGGCAAGTTTGCCCAGTGGCTACGGTATACCATGCCTTAGAGGCAATATGCCCAACAATCAACGGACTTACATCATAGCCTTCAAACTTTACAAAAACAGGAACAAGGCGGTCTCTATTTGGGTGTCACAGTTACAAAATGATACATGTATTCTACCCAATGCTCAACACCAATGCACCATATACAGATCTGCAAACCACGGGGAAGTTAATGTGCCGGCCTCCTCTCTGTTGAAAAGGACAAGGTTCGACGTTCGAACTTTGTCTCGTCCCCTGTCTCTTGCATCGTGTCTCCGCCCTGTATTGCAAAAGCTTGTATGCCACGGCAGTTCAGACGTAGTTGCATTGATGAAACTTTAAAGAGAGAAAGCACGGAACCAAAGCTCGGAACCAGAGCTCGGAACTAGAGCTCGGAACCTGTTCGCTGCGCCGCGAGGTCCTCATGGCTGCCATTCCGCTCGGAATGGGAGTGAGCGAACGAGACTCTGGTCGCAGTATAGAAGTATGAAGTCTCTCCGAAACCCACTGCATCTCCAAACCAGCACCGAAGCTACATATTCTAAGATAGAAGGAAAAAGCCTGATCACCATATTAACAAAAAAGCACCGGCCGAAATGCCCCAACGCGTCCTCGTCACCGGCGCAAACGGCTTCATAGCCCAGCACATCCTCGGCCAGTTTCTCGCGGCCGGCCACTCTGTCCGCGCCGTCGTCCGCAGCGAGTCCTCTGCCTCCAAGGTCCGCAAGACCTTTTCTTCCTACCTCGCCTCGTCCCAGCTGGACATCGCCTTGGTGCCGGACATAACGGCCCCGGGCGCCTTCGACGCGGCGCTCGCCTCTGACCCGCCGTTCGAGACTGTGCTGCACACCGCCTCGCCCTTCGACTTCCGCAAGGGCAACTCCAGCGCCGACTTCCTCGGCCCCGCCATCCGGGGCACGACGGAGATCCTCCATGGCGTCCGCCGCGCCGCGCCGGCCGTCAAGAGGGTCGTCGTGACCAGTTCCATGGCCGCCATGATCGACATCTCCCGGCCGCCCGTGTCCGACCCGCCAAAGATCTACGGCGACCGGGACTGGTTCGAGGTCTCGGAGCGGGACGCCGAGACATCCGAGAACCCGCACCTGCCGTACGTGGCGAGCAAGGCGCTCGCCGAGAAGGCTGCCTGGGCCTTCGTTGAGGAGGAGAAGCCGGCATTCGACCTGGTGACCATCAACCCGCCCATGGTGTACGGGCCGCTGCTGGACACCTCGGAGCTCGAGTCCCCGCTGGGCCTGAACCAGAGCAACTACGGGCTCTACGAGACGTTCTTCGCGCCGGGGCTGACGGCGACGTCGCCGGTCCCGCCCGCGTTCCTGCACCTGTACGTTGACGTGCGGGACGTGGCGCGCGCCCACTTTCTCGCGGCGACGAAGCCCGCGGCGGGGGGTCGCAGGTTCGTCGTCAGCCCCGGGGGCGTGTCTAACCAGACGATCGCCAACGTGGTGCGGGAGAGGCTCCCGGAGCTGGAGGGCCGGATCCCGAAGGGCGATCCGACGCAGACGGCGCTCCCGAAGGGGATTTACGGCGCGGACGGGTCGTTGGCGGAGAAGGTGCTCGGTCTGGAGTACACGAAGCTGGAGGATACGTTTGGGGATATTGCGACGCAGATTGCCGAGCTGGAGAAGCGTGCGGAAAAGGCTGCGTGAGAATGTTGCTTACTGGAAGGGGGGAGGGACTGTTTCGCCGTTCCATAAGGGAGCCGTGGACCGAGATCGGGACATGGTCGTGTATTGTGAATCCAGTTCTACAATCAAGATGTACAGCATGACAGCCTCAGCCCTTTGCAAACTGAAGGCATTTGGTGTAGCAGTATGACGATAAGCCCTGCTTTCCCATCTCACCTCCATGACCGCTATCTTTCATCCCTGCGAAGTAACCGCCGGGATGGGGCAACTCGGGCACATTGATCGCAACCGTCCCTGCTTCCAGCCTTCTGGCTATGCTCTCGGCTCTGCCTATGTCTCTACAATAGACGGATGCCCCAAGGCCGGCGTTTCTAAGGTTGGCGTGTCGGAGTACGTCCTCTTCGTCCGTCCAAGTGAGTATCGGTACGATTGGTCCTTGAAAGCACGATCAGTTTACATGTCTCAACAATCACAAACCACCTCGTTGTGTCAACTATTGAATGTGGACTTTGGGCAAGACGAACCGAATTGCTCCTCTTGGACAAGAACGGAGTCCTCTGGCGGCTTTATGACGATGGTCGGCGGGATCCAAAAGCCCTTGGAATCCAAGGGAAGCTCGGCAGCAATGATGTTGCTACCATGCTTCCTGTAATGGCGAGCGATGTCCCGGACAGCGTCATACTGCGTCTTATTCGAGACGGGGCCAAATAAGCTAGGCGACTTGGCGTCATTATTAATGGAGAAGGACTTTTTCACCTCGCCCGCGAACTTTTCGAGGAAGTCGCCGTACACGGATTCGTGAACGTAGACGCGCTTCGCAGCCACGCACACTTGGCCGGCGTTGAAGAAGCATCCGGTGGCAACCTGACCCGCCACCTTGGCAACGTCAATGTCGTCAGTTACAATGGCTGCGTCGTTGCCCGCCAGCTCGAGGGTCAGTCGTTTCAGTGTCTTCGCGCAGTTGGCCATGATGCTCTTGCCGGTGGCAATGGTTCCGGTGAAGCTGATCTTGGCGATAGCCGGGTGCAGCGTCATGGCGACGCCGAGGTCGGTGCCGCCGTTGACCACCTGAACGACGCCGGGAGGCAAGACGTCGATTAGTAGTTCGACAGACTTCATGACGGAGTATGGCGCGAACGGAGAGGGCTTGACGATGATGCAGTTGCCTGTGATGAGTGAGGATACCACTTTGATGTTTGACAGGATCAGAGGGAAGTTCCACGGGCATATGGCGCCGACGATACCCAAAGGATGGTGGGTGGCCACGATCTTGAGCTTCTCGTCCTCAAAAGTGACCTCGTCTTCGAGATGGACCTTGGCTATGACGCAGGCATGAGTGTACTGAGCGTTTTCGAGGGAAGATGGGTAATGGACGCACTGTAGTACGTTGTCTGTTCGCATGTATTTCCGATTTCGATCTCGGCCATGAGACTCTGGGGCTATTTAGCGGTCATGCTTTACGTGTAGCCACAGAGGGAGACTCGAATTACCGATTTCCCAGTTTCTTTCATAATGATTTCCATCAGTTCCTCCTTGTGCGCGATATATACATCGACAATTTTGCGTAGATAGTCGGCTCGCTCCTTTACCGTGGTCTTGGACCAGGTCTGGAAAGCTTTCTGGGCCGCCGTGATGGCATCCTCGAGGTCATGCACCGTGGCAACGGGCGCATCCCAGAGAGGCTCCTCTGTGCGGGGATTGGTGCACTGGTGATGGTTGTCGCTGGCGCGGCGCTGTCCATCTACGACGTTGAAGAATTCCATCTTGATATGCGAGAGATGGCTCCTCCGTAATTACTTGATTGGGGGGAGAACAAGGTAGAAGGTAGCAGCAAATGGCCATTACGAGGTGATGTGGACAGCATAAAGACGGGGTTCGGGACAAGGCAGGAAGCGTCACATCGGTTACATCATTGTTCGCGTGCCAAAGTTCAATCCACCATCGGCTGACATGGTTCAGGCGCAACCAAATTCTGGGTTTCTGTTGAGATCCCAGGTGAAGACGGCGGGGTTGTACCCGGTAGACAATGGCGGCGCGTATGTGACGTTCCGGAACTGGTGTGGCATGTTGCGTTGCTAAATTAGACACTGCGGCATTTGGCAGTTGACAATGGTAATCCACGGCGGCATCTGCAAACATGCATTCTCCAACAGCCTTGGAAGGACAAAAGCGAGTGATGTGTCTAGCTTTGTTGGCCGGGTCATGGTTGCTAGACAGTCAAGGCTAGATGGTTGATGAGCCGTATGCCGTGTGTATATATGTTCATACTAAGGTAGGTAGTAATTGGAACTATACGCTGATTGTTGCTAAAGTGCCCAGGGAGCTAATGAGACACCTTTTGCTTGCAGTCGTCTAAGGTGAGTCCTAGTGAGTCTTGGTGTCTGTCTGGCTGATGCCGTTGACACCCTATCACGTGAGCTACGTAGTCGCCGTTTAATGAGTCTTAGGCAACATGAACCACTTGTACTAGCCTACTAGGTGTGTGTAGTATATATATAGTATGCTACCTATATTGCATCGAAGAGGCGGAGAATCACAAGTGGAAGCTGCCGACCGTATGGCGACGGAGCCGGCCGACAGGCCCACTGCTATTCCTGTGCTGATTCTTAGTGTGTTACCTAGTTGGTTAGGTGGCGGGGGAGGTGCTAAAGGGAGGGGGCGGGGCAGATAACGATAAGACATCCCACCCCACCAAATTCGTAGACGATGATTGGACAAGTCCCGCTGATAAGCTGATACCGGGGCTTTCTGATTCGCGACAGCGCTGCCGTGGTCCGTCGCAAGCCGCGACTCTCTACTCTCAGAGAACGGACACTCCGACAAGAAACACACACGTACAAACATACACAAACAACCAAATCCGTCACAAACTGCACCAACGGGCGAATACAGACGTTTGTTCGGAACGTGGATGCTGCAGCATAGCCGACCACGCGACAAGGGGTGCCGTACTCACTTGCAGCAGCATCTACCCCTACCTCGTCCGCATCTTCACCTCTGGAACGGTACCTTGCCTTGATCAGTTTTCGTATTTTGCCTCTCTCTTTTTCTCTCTCCCCTCGTGTCTGTTTCCGCCTTAAACCTGCAGGGTTGTCTCTACATACCTACTCTTCCGTCCTCAAACACACCTGACTTTCCTCTGGTTGTCTCATACCTTTGCTTCTAATTAGTCACCGTGGAAAGGGGCTTGAGACAACATGGCGCCCATTGCAGTCTCCCCCGAGAGGGATGTTGGGCCCCTAAATACGCTGACCACTGGATTTGACGATACCATCCGCTTCTACCTCAACGGAACTCGCGTCGTGCTCGACGAGGTAGACCCCGAGGCCACCTTGCTCGAATACTTGCGTGGCATTGGCCTCACCGGCACTAAACTGTTTGTCCGCCACTGTCCAGTCGCTATGGACGAACCCCTTCGTAGCATGCACTAACACCGCACAGCGGCTGTGGCGAAGGCGGTTGCGGCGCCTGCACCGTAGTCATCTCCCAGTTCAACCCGACGACCAAGCAAATCTACCACGCGAGCGTCAACGCCTGCCTGGCCCCGCTGGCCAGTCTCGACGGCAAGCATGTCATCACCATCGAGGGCATCGGCAACACCAAGGCCCCGCACCCCGCCCAAGAACGAGTCGCAAAGAGCAACGGCAGCCAGTGCGGCTTCTGTACACCAGGCATCGTCATGAGCTTGTACGCCTTGCTGCGCAACAACCAGGAGCCTTCCCAAGAAGATATCGAGGAGGCCTTTGACGGCAATCTCTGCAGATGTACCGGGTACAAGCCCATCCTCGAAGCGGCCCAGACCTTCAGCGTCGAGAGGGGATGTGGCCAGGCACGGACGAACGGTGGCTCGGGCTGCTGCATGGAAAATGGCGACGGCGAGAAGAAGGCTGGTGGATGCTGCATGGACAAGGACAAACTCGATGACCAGCCCATCAAGAGGTTTACGCCACCCGGCTTCATCGAGTACAACCCCGACACCGAGCTGATCTTCCCGCCGGCCTTGAAGAAGCACGAAATGAAGCCGCTGGCGTTTGGCAACAAGAGGAAGAAGTGGTACAGGCCAGTCACCCTCGAGCAGCTGCTCGATATCAAGAGCGTATACCCCTCAGCAAAGATCATCGGCGGCAGCACCGAGACCCAGATCGAAATCAAGTTCAAGGCACAGCAGTATCCCATCTCCGTCTATGTGGGGGATATTGCAGAGCTGCGCCAGTACGAGTTCAAGGACGACCACTTGGAAATCGGTGGAAACGTGGTGCTCACTGATCTGGAGCACATCAGCAAAGAGGCCACGCGCCATTACGGCGACGCTCGGGGCCAGGTCTTTGAGGGAATTCACAAGCAGTTGAAGTATTTCGCCGGAAGGCAGATCCGTAACGTCGGCACGCCAGCGGGCAACCTCGTCACGGCGTCGCCAATCTCAGACTTGAACCCTGTTCTCTGGGCTGCCAACGCCGTTTTGGTGGCCAAGTCCCAGAGCCAAGAGACGGAAATCCCCATGTCACAGTTCTTCACCGGCTACCGAAGGACGGCACTCCCGCAAGACGCCATCATCGCTTCCATCAGGATCCCCGTAACGGCCGCCAAGAACGAGTTCTTCAGAGCCTACAAGCAGGCCAAGAGAAAAGACGACGACATTGCCATTGTGACCGGCGCCCTCCGTATCAAGGTCGACGACGATGGGGTCATTACAGAGTCCAATCTGATATACGGTGGCATGGCCGCCATGACCGTCGCCGCAAAGAAAACCATGGAGTACTTGGTGGGAAAGCGGATCGCCGAGCTGGAGACGCTCGAGGGAGCGATGAACGCCCTCGGAACTGACTTTGACTTGGAGTTCAGCGTTCCGGGAGGCATGGCCTCGTACCGAAAGGCCCTGGCGTTCAGCTTCTTCTATCGCTTCTACCACGACGTCATCACTAACCTGGGCGGGCAGAGCCAGCACGTTGATATCGAGGCTATCGACGAACTCGAGCGAGGCATCTCTGGCGGAACCGAAGATGATGGTGCCGCCGCTGCGTACGAACAGGAAATTGTCGGCAAGTCCAAGAACCACGTTGCCGCGCTGAAGCAGGTTACTGGTGAGGCGCAGTACGTTGACGACATTCCCTCGTTGAAAAACGAGCTGCACGGTTGCTTCGTGCTGTCTACCAAGGCCCACGCCAAGATCAAGTCGATCGACTACTCGCCGGCCCTCGACATGCCGGGTGTCGTCGACTACATTGACAAGGACGACATCGATACGCCCGAGCAGAACCGCTGGGGTGCACCTCGTTTCGACGAGGTCTTCCTCGCCGAAGGTGAAGTGTTCACCGCCGGCCAGCCAATCGCGATGATACTTGCAACTTCAGCGTCCAGGGCTGCCGAGGCTGCTCGAGCGGTCAAGATTGAGTACGAGGAACTGCCGTCTATTCTTACGATTGAGGAAGCCATCGAGAAAGATAGCTTCCACGACTATTACCGAGAGCTCAAGAACGGAGACACTGAGGAGGCGTTCAAAAACTGTGATTACGTGTTTACTGGCACGGCGCGGATGGGCGGCCAAGAGCACTTTTATCTCGAAACTAACGCTTCGCTCGTTATTCCGAAACCTGAAGACGGAGAGATGGAGGTGTTTTCCAGCACCCAAAACGCCAATGAGACGTCGGTCATCAACTCTCTCAACGTTCCGAGTCTTATGCTAACGCTCCTGTAGGCAAGTATTCGTTGCCCGCATAACCGGTGTTCAAGCCAACAAAATTGTCGTCCGCGTCAAGAGACTCGGCGGTGGCTTTGGCGGCAAGGAGACGAGGTCGATTCAGCTCTGCGCTCCACTCGCACTTGCGGCTAAGAAGACGAAGCGCCCCTGCCGCTACATGTTGACTAGAGAAGAGGATATGGTCACCTCGGGCCAGCGTCATCCGTTCTTGGGCCGATGGAAGGTTGGCGTGAACAAGGACGGCAAGATCCAAGCGCTGGACCTTGACGTGTTCAACAACGCCGGCTGGACATTCGACCTGAGCGCTGCAGTCTGCGAGCGAGCGATGTCGCACTCGGACGGCTGCTACAAGATCCCAAACGTTTTCATCCGCGGACGCCTGTGCAAGACCAACACCATGTCCAACACGGCGTTCCGAGGCTTCGGAGGCCCCCAAGGCATGTTTATTGCCGAGACGTACATGGAGGAGGTCGCAGACCGGTTGGGCATGCCGGTCGAGAAGCTCCGCGAGATCAACTTCTATAAGCCGCTGGAGCCGACGCACTTCAACCAGCCCCTGACGGACTGGCACGTGCCGTTGATGTATGAGCAGGTTCAGAAGGAGGCCAAGTACGAGCTGCGAAGGGAACTCGTCAAGCGATTCAACGACGGCAACAAGTGGCGCAAGCGCGGTCTCGCCATCATTCCGACAAAGTTTGGCATCTCGTACACGGCCCTCTTCCTCAACCAGGCGGGCGCCCTCGTGCACATCTACCACGACGGATCCGTCCTCGTGGCCCACGGCGGCACGGAGATGGGCCAAGGGCTGCACACCAAGATGACGCAGATCGCCGCGCAAGCTCTGCAGGTGCCGCTGGAGAACGTCTTCATCTCCGAGACAGCAACCAACACGGTAGCCAACGCCTCGGCGACGGCGGCGTCGGCGTCGTCCGATCTCAACGGCTACGCCATCTACAATGCGTGCGCGCAGCTGAACGAGCGTCTAGCGCCGTACCGAGAGCAGCTCGGGCCGGACGCGACGATGAAAGAGCTGGCACACGCCGCCTACTTTGACCGCGTGAACCTCTCGGCGCAGGGCTTCTACAAGACGCCGGAAATCGGGTATAGGTGGGACGAGAACCGGGGCAAGATGTTCTTCTACTTCACGCAGGGCGTCACGGCGGCCGAGGTGGAGGTGGACACGCTGACGGGGACGTGGACGTGCATCCGGGCGGACATCAAGATGGACGTCGGGCAGTCCATCAACCCGGCGGTGGACTACGGGCAGATCCAGGGCGCGTTCGTGCAGGGCCTCGGCTTGTTCACAATGGAGGAGTCGCTCTGGCTTCGCAACGGGCCAATGGCGGGTAACCTATTCACGCGGGGGCCCGGGGCGTACAAGATACCGGGGTTCCGCGACATACCGCAGGAGTTCAACGTGTCGCTCCTCAAGGACGTGGAGTGGAAGGATCTGCGGACGATCCAGCGGTCGCGGGGAGTGGGGGAGCCACCGCTGTTCATGGGCAGCGCCGTCTTCTTCGCGATCCGCGACGCGCTTAAGGCTTCGAGGCGGCAGTACGGTGTCGAGGCGACGATCGGGGAGGACCGTGTAGGCGACGGCCTGCTGAGACTGGAGAGCCCGGCCACACCCGAGCGGATCCGACTCAGCTGCGAGGACCCGATTATGAGGAGGGCGAGGGTGCTGCCGAAGGAGGGGGAGAAGAGCTTTTTCGTAGCCATTTAGAGGGCAGATAGACGGTAGGGGGGGTGAGGGGAACAGGGGGGATTATGTACGTGGAGACTCTTGGCGAGTATTCACTCGGGACAGAAACGGACAGGCGTCGTATTGGCAACGGTTGCGATACATATGAACTACATTATATATCACGATTTTCAGATAAGATGATTGATCAGCAACGGTTTTGCCCCTTTACTTAGGAATGTTCCAGGTCGTACGCCGGGAAGAGCAACGCATCACACGATCGCCAAGTCTTTCAGCATGTACGGATACATACTCCGCAGTGTACCTAGGCAAAAAGAAGAAAGAAAGATGGGATGGTGAGGGGTTGTTGGATCGGTGTCGACCGGGGGTGTCAGCAGTACCTTGTTAGACGGATGGGCGGGCAGGGCTCTTTTGCAGCCCGACGCTTTTCGTACGGCCAGCTCAGCTTTTACCGAGTCAGAACCTTCCTTGAGAGGAAACGGTGAAGCGAAGACGAAGACGGGAACCAAAGGCTGAAGAGGCCCTTTTTTTCTTCTTCTTTTTGGAGTGTCGGGATGAAGTGAGTTTTCAGGGAGTTCAGCCCCGAGAGGGACGGAAAGAGGGAGTCACTGCTGGGAGATAGACATCGGACGAGGACCACTATAGATGCCCTGTTTACCCTGTCTGTGTGGGAAAGCCAAGAAACCCATCACCATCAGCGTCCGGGACGCCCAGGACATAAGCCCACATAGAGCGTCGCCAGCGGCCCAGGATCGGGGGGAGGTCTGCGCTGCGACGGTGGGAGTGCAAGTGGAAATAGAGAGCCTACTTGCATTCTGACGCATGTCTGTGCTGTGCAGCAGCGATTGTTTAAACTATTTTGGCCCGTAATGCCGGGTATGGGATGATATCATAGGCCGAGGTACGACAGCGAGAAAGAAGCACGAGGTCGTATCGAACGAAGGTCGATTTGAAGGGGGAAGAGATAAGATGAAGAGGACTTTGTCTTGTTTTCTTTTCCCCAATCTCGTCCACCGAGGTTAGAGGAAGATTCGTATAAGGAAGAAGGGGGAAGGCGGGGGGAAGGCGGGGGGAAATGGTGTGCCATCTTCACCTTGGTCGGACGTCTTCCGACGCCTGGAGGGCGGGCAGGCGGTCGATGCCTAGCTTTTGTTGCCGAATCCCGGGTCCCATGTGTCTTGTTGTGTTGATGTAGACAGGGGTCGGACTAATGCGTGTTGAGTGATGAAAGTACAAGTGATGAATGAGTGAATGCATGAGTGATGGGTGCATGAGTGAGTGTGTACGGTACTAAGTGAGGTAGTTAGTCAAGGAGGGTTGCCGAGTGGCCGGTGCGAGTGGCTCTCATGACCCGCAGCTGAGCGCCAAGTTCAAGGTGAAGAAGACCAACCAACCCCGTCATCCACCCCCCCCCCCCGCAGCAGCCAAAGGCAGTTTACCAGCAAAAAACTGGTGGACGATGCTGACCGGCCTTGACCTTAAACCGTGACCTTGAACCCGGGTTATCAGTCTGCCGCCTGTGCCAACTCATTTCCCATTGCAGTTCGCCATCCGTTCGTTCGTGGCCTGGTTTATTTCCAATTGTTTTTTTTTCTTGTTTTTTCTGTGCCAATCTTGTTCCCAAGATAAAACGAGAAATAAAACAAAAAAAAACATCAACCCTTCGCCCTGACCAGCTCTACTAAATTCTCTTCGGACCCCATCAGAGAGCATTTCAATCGCACAACCTTCACGAGGCCTCGGCACACGCTCGCACTACCGCGCCCAATTCCAAAGCCACCAACGACCGGCCACTCTTCACACTACATACATAGACTGTTCGGAAACGCCTTCCAACTCCCTTCCCTTGCTTTTGCCCGAACAGCACCGGCCCGGACGAGACATTATACATACAACCCGTCATAGATTGGCCCTTTTCCCGCGCCCTCACCACACGTCGCCTCCCGTGTCCGCAGCACCACACCAGTCAGATAGCGGAAAGAGACGAGAGAACCTCGACAGCACCCGCGAAAGCGCATAGCCGAATCTGACCCGGCGGCTGCCCGCACGCGACAACGCCGTCATCCCCTCCCGCACCGCACCGCGCCGCATCGCCTGCAAACCCTTGCGACGCAGCAGTGCTGCCTGGACCCACGAACCGCGACCTCGAAGGGGGGAAAGAACCTTGTTTCCGTGTCAAATGATCTGCGAACACTCGTCTCCTGCGTAACCTTTGAGGTCCAATGGGAACCGCCGTCCCATTGAGCTGATTCCGACACCCACCCACCCACCAACACCACCACCGCCGCCTTCGCCCACTACCGCCGCCGCCGCTGCCGCCCGCCTGCCTGCCAAACCCGCTTGCTTACCTACCTGCCCGAAGCCCGTTCAGCCGTCGCCATGCCAGAGAACGACAAGGACGTCAGGTCCGAGGCGCAAGAAGACAAGGAAAAGCGCGAGAAGTCGGAGAACAATGGCGGCCATGCCCACTCGGCCAAGAGCCCCAAGAAGCGCCGTAAAGTAAACCACGGTACGTTTGGCCGAGAACTCGCCCCTACCCTACCCCCTTGCTATATATAATAGTTCCCTCGGGTGGTTGCTGTCGAATCGCGAACTGCCCCGGCGGCAGCAATCCGCTGGCCTCTCTCGACCCCCCCGTAAAAAAAGAAAATAAAAATAAAGAAAAGGGCGATTGCTAATGCCCTACTCCCTCCCCAGCTTGCGTCTACTGCCGGCGATCTGTAAGTCGGATAGCCCTCCCCCAACAAATACGATTGGCATTGCCCCCCCTTCCCTCGGCTTTGCGCGTGACGCGGACGCTATTGCCTACCAGCTTTGCTGCTGTGCGATGTTCCGCCAACCAACCCTTGCCTGCATAGGTAATATATGCATGGGCTCCTCCTCCTCTCGCGGGAGGACTGCGAGGAGGCAACTACAAGCGAAAAAAGAAGAGAGAAATGATGGCTGACGGATAGTGTCTTGCCCGCTACATAGCATATGACTTGCGATCTCGTATGTAAGATCTCTTTCTTCACACACCACTGGCACCGAGTGGCCGGCGTCTTGCTACTGCGGCGCCTGTCTCGCGTCCGGTTGGCTTGTCCATGAACTCCATGCGCGCCCGCTCTCTCGCGCGCGGGGGAGCATCTCCTTTAACCCGTGTAACGCTCGCTGACCATGCCGTGCCCAGGAACGACCGTGTACGAGATGCATCAAGCGTAATATCGGCCACCTCTGCCACGATGAGCCGCGCGACCCCGAGTCCAAGAAGGCCAAGAGCTCGCACGCCCCCTCCGCCGTCGACGAGTCCGAGACGACGCAATCCGACATCGCGCGGAGCTCTATCGACCAATCCGCGACCGGCGCCATGGGCCCGCCGCCTCCCTTCGAGAGAAAGGCGTCCTCCTTTGGCGCTGCCGTCCTGGGCCAAGGGAACCCCCTGCAACTCGTGTCACCGGGCTCTGTCTCTGGAATGTCGGGAAACGGCAGCAATATGAATCAATGTAGGTCCTGACTGGCTCCTGTTTGACCCCTCTCCGACAGTGCGTCGTGCCCGGGTTCTCTCGTCTTCCTGGCATGCGGCTGCGCTTCCCATTTGGAAGAACACAAGAGAAGAACAAGCATCGCCAGAGGCACGGAAGCTAACGCGATGCGCCCCGCTCTGACAGTCGCCGGATTATCCGACGCCTGGCTGACGGCCCAGAACCACTACCACGATATGCAAAGCTACCACCCCAGTTACATGATCGCCCCCGAGGTCACGCATGAGTTCAACCTGCTCAACGACTTTTTGCAAACGAGCCTGCTCGATGACGGCGGCATTCTCTCCGACGAGTCCCAGAACAGCCCCGCGTTTAGCAGGACAGCTGGCGCCAACGACATGCTGCCGACGTTCGGAAACCAGAGCACTAACAACAGGACCGGCGCCGCCAACAACGGCAATGGGCTCTCGCATATGCTGCCGCCGCAGAACCTCGAGCCGGGCCAGGCGGCGTCGCGGCCCGGCAGCAGCGTCGTCCAGGCCGAAAAGGACAAGGCACGCGAGTACTACCTCCAGGCAGCCGACCCGTCCGGCAACGACACCCCCGAGGAGCGTATGGACCGCGTGTTGAAGGCCAAGTACGAGGCCGGGCTCCTGAAACCCTTCAACTATGTTAAGGGATATGCCCGACTCGGCACCTACCTGGATAGCCATATCGCGCCATCGTCCAAGCAAAAGATCCTTCGGACCATCGACCGCTTCCGGCCCAAGTTCCGCGAAAAGGCGCAGGCTCTGACCGACATGGAGCTTCTCTACGTCGAGATGTGGTTCGAGAAGCAACTCATGGAGTACGACCGCGTGTTCGCCAGTATGGCGGTCCCGGCGTGCTGCTGGAGGAGGACTGGCGAGATCTTCAGGGGCAACAACGAGATGGCGGAGCTGTTGCACGTTCCAGTCGAGAACCTGCGGGATGTATGTCTGAAACCCAGCCAGCGTTGACTGACTTTGAGGCTCACGAAACAAACAGGGCAAGATTTCTCTGCACGAGATCCTCACAGAAGAGTCGCTCGTCCGGTATTGGGAAGAGTTCGGAACCATCGCCTTCGACCCTGCCCACGACACGCTGCTCACGGCCTGCACGCTCAAAAACCCCGACGACAAGGCGACGGACCCCGTGGTGCACTGTTGCTTTTCTTTCATGATTCAACGAGATAACCACAAGCTGTGAGTTGCCCCCCACACACATCTGACAACCCGGTGCTGACAGGTTATGATGCACAGCCCCACGCTCATCATTGGCAATTTTTTGCCCAACGATCCTGCTCGCCCGTAATCTACTGCATTTCCAAAGGCCGGGGACTCGGGGGCTGGGGTCGGAGATGACCAAAAAAGAAAATGGGATTGGCGTCATTTGGATACCAGAGCATTGTTTTGTTTTTTGATCTTTTCTTTCTGGATCAGTTGCATCATCAAAGCCATCTACCGCGCTCTCGGGCGAGAGTGAAAGTCAGTACATATTCTACGTTTGGTACCTGGGTCTGGTCGGGTGTCGGGACGAACAGGGTCTCCGTCCGGCCCGCTATTGTCTGCCGGACCGGCGGCCGGTTCCAATTGCCCCACATCCGGATTCCGGTACTCGCGAGGAAGGAGCATTGCCATGCGGCTTCCGTGGACGATATGGCACTTGCCATTTTCGAAATATATCTCTTATTTCCCCTATAAATCTTCCACTCGATGTGTCAGATTCACAACCAGACAGAATCGCACCGCTTGCTGACATTGGTGTGACCGTTGCGAGTACCACATCTTAACAAAACTGCTTCCGTTTGACGCTCTCCCGGTCTCTTTTGGGCACGATGCCTCCTATGGCTCGAATACCCTCTCCCAGGGGCGCCCAACCCGACAAGCCTACGTCCTTCACAGGTTTGCTTATCGAGAGACGCGGACCTCGGTGGAGCGGCTAACGCGTACATACAGCTTTCTCGCAGACCCTCCTGAGGCGTCTCCCGTCCGCCTACGACCCACCCGCGATCGACTCGCTGCTCGCCGAGCTGAAGCCGCAGCTGGAGACGATCGTCAACTTCCACGCAGCCTCGAGGACAAAGCCCCAGCGGGGAGAGCTGGACAGGAAAGGGACCGAGCTGTGGAACGTCTGCACCAGGCTGCGCCGCGACAACGCCCCCAGCGCGCCGCCGACGAGGGGGAAACTCCTGCTCCGGAGCAGGGCCTACGCGTTCTTCATGATTACCGTCGCAAGGGACGCCGTCTCCGGGGCTAAGCCCCAGATGGCGGACGTGGTGCACCTGACGAAGCTGATGCTCAAGGCAGGGAGAATGTGCATTAGTCTGTTGCCATCCTGATGGATTTCGTGGTCACGGTGGCTGACTGTGTGGCAGACGATGACAGCATCAGTGCCAGCACTAGCACCATGAAGCTGGCCAATGCCATCTTCACGAAAGGAGCGGGATACGTCGCGGCTCTGGGCGAGCTACAGAAAGCAATGCTGGGACCTGATGACTTGGCGGAGTGCAAACGTCTAGAGTCGGAATACTACATACTCCGCACGGCGCTGGTATGTCACACATACCCGGCGACATACGACATCTGACAATTGACCGCCCAGGCCTGGAAAGAGGACAACCTCACCGTCGCCGAGTTCATGTACGACAAGGGTCACCTCGACCCGCAGCCTCTGGAGCCAGGCTCCGCCGAGAAGATGACAGAGGTCCTCTTTGAGATGGGAAAAGACCTATCCAAAAAGGGCGACTTCCCCATGGCCGCGCGATGGCTCGAACGGGGCTACGATGTCATCAACGCCCAAGACCTGGACCGCCTCTCCCGCGACGCCATCGAGCTGCGCCTCGCCGTCTGCCAAGCCCTGGTCCACGCACTGCTCGGGATGGACACGCAGGATGCTTCCCAGAGAGCGCTCGGCCTGGTCAACTACCTCGAGGCCGAGGTCGGCGACAAGCCCGTCGCGCTGCTGCTCCGCCTCGAGCTCCTGCAGAAGGCACCGGCCGAGGTCTTCGACGTCGAGGCCTACGCCGGCGTCCTACGGCGGATGGTGCGCGCCTTCACCTTCTCCGAGGCGCACTTCAAGCTCCTCGTGCACCACGCGCGGAAGCTGCACGACAAGAGCCCGACGCAGGCGACAGACGTCGTAGATGGGATGCTCCAGGGCACCGTCGTATCCTCGGGGCGTGACGAGTGGGTCGAGAGGCTGGTTCTCTTGAGAATCTGGATGGAGACGAACCAGAGGGATAGCATGAGGGCTGTTGAGGGGTTGGCAGCTGTCTTGACGGGGCTCCAGGACACCCTGGAGAAGCCTCTTGGGGCTTCTGCAGCGGTTGGGGCGTTGACTGTGAGTTGTAAACTCGTGGGAAGGCTGAAAGGTTGCTGACATTCAAACAGCTGCTGTGGAAGAAGATCGAGGTCAATTACAATCAGGGCCACTTCGACTTCGCGGATGGCTGGTGTCAGATTGCGTTGCAGCCCCTTTTCCAGAACGGCGGGCCCGCGAACCGGTCAAGGCTCAGCAGGTACGTGTTGCCCCCCCCGGCTGTGATGAATGTCTCACGCTGACGACCACAGGAAGCTCATCCTCTGCGCACTGGGGCAGAACGATACAGAGAGAGCGCGACAGGTCTTCCACAATATGGCGGAGGCGTCGCAAAACGAGCCGATGACGCGGTATCTGATGTACAAGGTCGCGCTCCGCTCGACAGACCGCGAGTTGGCGACGGAGTGTCTTGAACGAATTGGCGCTGCGGCAGGATTAGAGCCCGACTTTCTCTATGCTTGCGTGTTGGAGGCGCAGCAGGCTGGAGATAGGGTCTGCGCGATGCAGGCCATGAAGCAGCTGGCTGGCAAAGTCGAGTTCAGCGAGGCGTCCCCCGTTCACCTCCCCGCGCTTCTGCGGTGCAATATCCGGCTCGCCGTCTCGGTCATGGAGGGTGAGAAGGACGCCGGAAGACGTAAGGCGGCGGTGGAGGAGGTTGTCACGCTGTTTGAAGGAGGTGAGTGCGCGCCACCGCTTGCTCGCTCTCGCATCCGGGTGTTGGCTGTGGTTGACGAAAGAGCATGCAGCCTCCAAAGCGATCCAGCGGAACCCGAACGGAAAGGACGGCAACCGGCTCTTCACGGTCAAGGAACTCGACTGGTTCTGCCAGAACGCATACAACCTCGGCCTCAAGCACGTGGACAGCTGGGGCCTCGAGCATCTTGTGCGCTTGTACGACGGCTGCCTCACCATCGCAGCGCACTACCCTGCCGACCTCCCCGCCGAGGCGGCCGGCGACGTGGCCTTCCGGACCATGTTCTGCCACTTCGTCGCTGCAGCGGCGCTCGTCTCCCTCGCGCGCGCCGAAGACGGCACCGAACGGCGACTACAAGACTACCTCGTCGCGCGGCGGCACATCAAAGCCTACAGCGACGCGCTGGAGGACCGGGCGAACGCGCTGGACGCACTGCTCAGGGCCGACCTCGTGGCGAAGCTGGCGACGCTGACCGTGTTCGACTTCGAGGCGGCGGTGGCGCTGAGGCAGTACGACGCCCTCGGGTACGTCGTCCGCGCGGCAAAGACGTGCCGGGACGTGAACGCGCTCAAGGCCATGGGCGACATTGCGCTGCGCGGCAAGCTTCCCGGGCAAGGTGATTCGGCTTTTTTTTCTGTTTTTGTCCCTCCTCGCTCTTTTTCTTCTTTTCCAATCCCCTCTATGGTGTTCCTTTGCGGTTATCTCTTGCGTGATGGTGGGCATGGGCTAACTGGCGCCCGCCACTGCAGAGCTCTACTCGACGCTCGGCGTCATCGTCAACGAGATCTGGGAGCTCGAGAGGATGAAGAGCGACCGGCTGGCAAAGTACATCCGGTGCATGTTTCACGCCGTGCTACCGCTCGACGCGGCGCTGGGGCAGAGACTGATGAGGCAGGCGATTGACGTGGCAAAGGATTCCCGCGGTGTATGTACCTCCTGATCCTCTCCTTTTCTCCCCTCCTTTCCTCGACCGATCCACATAACCCCCGCCGCGTGCTCTTCTGCAGTGCAGGATCAGGTTCCTGACATGATGTGTCCGTACTCCAGGGCCCGCACCCATTCCCGCCCGAGGAGCTCGAGTGGCTCGTGACCGTCTCCTTCAACCAGGCGGTGGACGCGTACAACGCCCGGCAGGACGATGGGTGTGCCAAGTGGGCTGAACTGGCGATGAACCTCGCGCACTACGCCAACGACGGCGGCGGCCTGGAGGCCATGGTGCACGAGCAATGGGCGAAGCTGAAGCTCTGAGTCGCCGCGAGCCGGCCATCAGAGACTTTCGGGAGATGCAGGGAGTTTCTCGTCCACAATGCAGTTGTCTTGGCTGGGAATGTGAACGTACCGGTTCTGAATGGACATAATAGTCTACATCCGGCAGGATCAGAGGCGTGGAGACACAACCTTCCCTCCTTTTTATTCGTCACGTTTTAGAGCTGTTAGTCTCTAGGCGTGCACTACACTGACTTTCTTAACACTCATATTACTTGCGCTAGACGCACCACTACTACCCCCTATGCCGGCCCCTGATGGGCCGGCCCTGCCGCCCCTAGCGACGCCTTGCCTAGGGATATAGCCGCCAGCAGCAGCTATACTTACTATATTAAGCTTAATTATAGGCAAAGGTTTACTAACAGAGCGTAAGAGATATGTAGCGCCCTCTAGCCTAATAACTATTATAGACGCCTTACTACTAAAGGACTTTATAGAGATAATCTAGACCTTTAAGAAGAAGCTAGGTATTAATATATTACTATATAGACTAATAATAAACATAACTTAGAACCTAAAAGATATATTAAGTAAGATTATAGCGCTTAATAATAGTTATAGATATATAGTAAACACCTTAATTAATAACCTATAGTATACACTTTAGTAAATATAAGCTAAAAGATATTATTAAGTTATAGTTAACTACTATACTAACTTACTAGTTAGTACCCTAAGGGGAGATAAAAAGCCTATAATACTAAAGCCTATAGTAGATAAGCTAATAGGACGCCCCCTCTAGTAGGTAATAGTAGGAATTATAGTATAAATAAGGCTAGTAGGAATAGCTTTACTACTCCTAAAGGGAGCTTATAGTAAGGGACCTGCTTAAGGCTTAAGAGATATATAAGGAGGATCTTAGTAATATAATATTAACTACTATATCTTTATCTAAATACCTAACACCTAGGTCCTACTTTTTACTATCTATAAAGACGTTACTTAAATCTATAAGATATAAGTTATAAATATTATAAAGATAACTAGAATACTAACTAGTTTTATAGTTACCTTAAGTAGTAATAAAGTAAGATAGGCTATACTTAATAGCTATACTTAGCTATCTTAACACCTTAGTATAACTACTATTAATAGTCCTTAGGCCTAGACGTTTTATAAAGTTAGAGGTGTCTTATTTAAGATATATAACTATAATAAGAACACTATCTTAGTAATAAAAAAGATAATAGTAATAAAAGTTACTATTATAACTAAATAAAAGCTATAAAAGTACTATATTATAAAAAGTATAAAGGCCTAACGCCTCTAGACTTAGATTATTATATTATAAGATAAAGCTAAGCTATTTAGACTTTTTAATAGCCTAGTTACTATATAGCTAAAAGATAAGTTTAAGCCTGTTTAGTATAGCGTTTACTATAACTAGTATAAAGCTAGGCTATATATTAAGTAATAGCTTTATAAGGTATATAGCACCCTAAAAGTAAAATATAATAACATATAGTGCCTTAGACCTATATAATATACTAACTATAGAGGACTATACTAAAGCACCTACTAGAACTACCCCCTATAGCCTTAAAAAGAGGAATAGATAATTAGACGCCTAACTAAGGGGTAGCAGCAGTATATTAAACGCTAAGGACTATAGCTCTTCTAGGCAGCCTAGGAGGGTAGGTAGTAACTACTAAAGGCTATTAAGGCTACATAAGGCAGCCTAAGCCTGGCCTAGGAAAGCTAGCAGGAGGCTAGACTTAACTATTAGTAAGAGGTTAAGGCCTTTAATAAGATTATAAACAAAGCTATAAAAGATACCTTAGAAGGGGGTATAACGCTAAGACTAATTAAACTAGGCACCTTAGTACTGTTATCCTTATTATAATAATAAGATAAATTAAGATACTATATATTAATATATAGAGATTAAGGCTAATATATAATATTACTTTTATTTTTACTAACTAAAAGAAGGTTAATATAGTTATAATATAAAAGCTATAGTACTTAATAAATAAATAATTAGTTATAAAGATAATAGTAAACTATATAACCTTCTTACTAATATACTAGTAAAAAAGTATAAATATATAACCTAAGGTCTTTATATATATAAAGAAGACATATAGTAATATTACTATATTTAATATTACTATAATAACATACTATAATATCTTAAAAGTAACCCTCTAGAGGTAGCACTACCTTAATATCTATAGAGAGCCTAGGTTAGAGAAGGTCCTTAACGCCCTAGACGCCTAAAAAGCACTAGTAAATATAATAGTAGCAAAAGACTTTAACGCCTACTACCTAAACTAGTAACTAAGTAGCACCTTAAATTAGGGAGTAACTTACTTAGTAAAATAGTTAGAAGCCTAGATAATAACGCTTATTAGCCTACTAAAGGTAGCTATATATAATAGAGGTAACACTCTAGATCTTATATTCTTAGATATCCCCTTAGTAACTATAATTATTATAAACTACTTTTATACTAAGTTAGATTACTTAACCTTACTTACTATAATTCTTACTGTTATAAGGATCCTCCTTATAGGAATATAAATTAAGATAAACACCCTAAATAAAGTAAAGTAATTTAGAGAGGAAATAGAAAGGACGTTCTAGGTACTACCTAATAAATTTAGAACGCCTAAGGGCCTAGACTAGGTAGCGCTAACACTAACTAACCTTCTCTAAGAGGTAGCTACTATTATAAGTATATAGCTAGTTAAGAGATAATTAGTAGTATAGTAGACTAAGGCGTACTATAAGGCTAAAAGGGACTACTATAGCGCCTATAGACAGGGGGAAGGCGCTAAAGAAGAAGTAAAAGAACTTAAGAGAGTAGTTGTAAGGGGGTTAGCCTGGTTACCCTTTATAAGGCCATGTGTGGTGTATTTCAGGCACTTAGTGCCTGAACTGATTGATCTTTTGGTAATGCCAGAATGGTCTATTGACAGGCGTGGCATACTACCTATACCTTTATAATTGTTCAGGCACTAAGTGGGTCTTCTGGCTGCTAACAGGGGCTGGGTTCGAATCCCGCCTGTTGAGACTCTCTTTAGTGTAGGCCTTAAGGGGCTAGAGGTCATCAATCAGTGGATTAGTTGGCTAGGCATAAATAAGGGGCAGCTTACGTTAGGCTCAGAGGGACTAGGTGCAGGGAGGCAATGTCTGGCAGCTGTTGCCAGACGCCAGGCTGCCCAGGGCCTTTAGGGTTAACATGACCTTATGCTCTAGCGCACGGTTACCGGCGCCAGTGCACGTGGGCCTGAAGCGACTCGGGACGCGTCGCATTAGAAGGGGGGTAATTATAAGGGGGTTAGCCTGGTTACCCTTTATAAGGCCATGTGTGGTGCATTTCAGGCACTTAGTGCCTGAACTGATTGATCTTTTAGCAATGCCAGAATGGTCTATTGACAGGCGTAGCACACCACCTATACCTTTACAGTAGTATATAAGGCTAAAGCTATATACTAAACAGATTAAATTAATAAGATAGTAATAAATAAAGACCTCTATAAGGTAATAAGCTAGTATAAGCCTTTATTATAACTATAGTTACCCCCTTTATAAGATAGTAATAAAGTAGTTACTACACTAGCTAAGAAGGCTACCCTCCTCTAGAGGAGGCTACTAGAATAATTTAGCGCTAATATAAATATTAGCCTAAACGTACTAATAGTCCCCTAGAGGTAAATAAACTAAGATAACTATATACACCTAGAGGAGGTAAGGTTAGCGCTCCTTAGCGCTAGTAACACTACACTAGGTATAAATAATATTACTATAGTTATACTTTAGGCAGCCTAGCTAATAATTAGTAACTATATAAGGTAGCTATACTAAGTATATCTAGAATAAGGGCACTACCCCTTACTATTCTATAATATAGAGATAGTTATAATACTAAAGCTAAATAGGGATATTAGCTAGCCTAAAGGCTAGTGCCTAATATTACTACTATTAACCCTAAGGAAGAGGCTTAAGAGGCTAGTTATAAGGTAAATAATACGCTAATATATTAAATAAGGTGTCTTATATCTATAGGTAGTAAGGGCACTCCTATAGAGATCTATAATAGATATTATAGCTACCTTAACATATAACGTTAAAGTAGCCTTTAATAGGTAACTACACTATACCCTTATTATAATAAATATATAAGGTGCCTTTAATATAGTAAATAGTAGCTAGCTTACCTAAGTACTAAGGGAGTAAGGCTAGCCTAATAATATAGTTAGATTAGTAAAAGTATTTATAATAAGGTGCTATATATAAGTCTGCTTTAAGGACTACTTCTTACTAGTATAGCCCCTTTACTATAGCCTACCCTAAGGGTCCCTAGCCTCCCCTATTCTATATCTATACTATATAGAGCTACTATATAGATTTAAAGAGGAAAGCTTTAGGTTTAGCTATATAAATAACTATAGTATTTTATATATTAGTAAAATAAAATAAGAAAGTAAGTAGGTAGCTTAAGAACTACTAGATAAAGTAATAAGCTAGAGTAATAAGAATAGTATTTTATTTAATATAATAAAAATAGAGGTGCTTTACTTCTCTTAAAGCTAGGCCTCTAAAGGCCTTATAATCTAATATAAAGACTATAAGGTAGCCCTATAGGCCTCTATAAGATAACTAGAGGTCTACCTAGACAAAAAGCTTAGTTTTAAGACGTATATTAAGACCTAAGTAGTAACAGCCTAGGTAATAGTAGGATATATTAGAGGGCTTAATAAGGTGTATAGAGGGGCCCTCTTACTAAGTATAAGAAAAGCAGTTTATATAATAGTAATACTAAAGGCGCTTTACGCTACTAAGATCTAGTACCTAGGGAGGGACTAATAAGGGTAGAGGTTTTTAAATAGACGCCTTATAAAGGTTATATATAGTCTTATAGGCCTAATTAATAGGATATAGAAGGCTATAAATAGAGCTATCTAAGGCTGCCTGCTAGTATAGCAGATAACGCTAGTAATAGCACTAGCCTAAGAGGCTAGCACCCTACTAGTAAAGCTACTACTAGATATAATTAGATAGTAATATAGCCTAAGGCTAGGTATACTAAACACTAGCTACCTACTTATAAGGTAAATAGCAGTATACCTATATAAGAATTAAAAAGGAGGTAAAGTATAACCTATAATCCTTATAAATACTATAGAAAGTGTACCTTTATTCCTACGCCTAGTGCTATAGAGTTAGATATATAACATAAGGTTAATATACTAAGTAGTAAGGTAATAAAAAGAATAAGTAGTAACAGACTATAAATACTAAAAGGCTAATATATAGCTAACCTATATTATAGTATACTTAAATAGCTCCTAGGTTAAGCGTAATAAGATAAAATATAGCTATATTATTTTTAGAGGCTTAAACCTTATTTTAATAAGGCGTAAGTAACTCCCTAAGGGGGAGGTATATAACGCTAAAGCTAAAAGAGCTTAGTATAGCCTAAAGAAGGCCTTATAGTACTATAAAGGATTAATAAAAGTTATAGGTATTATAGTATACCTAAATAACTTTATAGTAATCTTTAGGCTAGATAACGCCCTAGCTAAATTATCTTAAGAGGCTATTCTTAACTTTATAAGGATAATAAAGAAAAGCGTAATACCTATAGATATCTACTAGGTGCTAGGATATACCTTAATTAATAGTAATAAGATAGTAAATAAGTTAGTAAAAAATAAAGTAAAGATACACCTTACTAATCTTAAAATACGCCTAGCTACTTATAACTATATTAAGCGTATACTAAAAGTATAAAAAAAAGAGGCGTTTATAAAGTAGTAAGTAAAGAACTACCTTAACTTATATAAGCTACTATAGCTAGTAAGGCTACTATAACTAATAAAGAAGATATACTATCTTATATATACTAAGCTATACTAACTAATTACTATAAGGTTAAAGTATAAAGACTTTATAGAATATTACTAACGCTTTAGGTATAGTAAGGTAAGAATTTACTACTCCTATAGAAAAAAGAAGTTACTAATATACTTACTATAGTACTAATAAGTAAAAAAGATAAATAATATTACTCTAGAAGATAAGTAGAAGTATATTTAGAACTAACTATTAAAGGATTACCTCTAGTTTATTAAGTATATATACTCTAATAACTTTTATAATAAGATATACCTATAGTACTAATATATACCTACTTTATTACCTAGCTACACTATTACTATATAGCTAGCCTCTAGACGTATAGAGATATAAGCCCTTAGTATAGGCGTTTATTAGATAGTCTAAAATAAAAAGTAGTATACTAAGCTTTATTATAAGAGGCCTAAAGGCCTAATCTTATACTACACTACTATATATAGCTACTAATAATAGCTAACTTTAACTATATTAAGGTTACTAAGTATAAGTGCCTAAAGGGTACTACTTACCTCTACCTTACTTCCCCTCCCCTTATACTTTCTTCTTCCTTTTTTTTAAGCTTACCTAGAAAAGTATTAACAAAAGGCTAACCTATATATAGTAAGAAAGGTATCTCTTACTTACTATAAGTAAGAAAAAGACTTAATAAAGATATAGATATATAAGTAGCACTATATAATAAGGTATATAGAATACCCCTAGTAGGACCTTTTAGTCTACTAGGGGCCCTCTATAAGGAACTAGGCCGCTAAAGAGCCTGTAGGCACTTAACAGCACAAAACAACATATAGTTTAACCTCCTAGGAGGCTAGATAATAGATAGGTAATACAGATAGTCTGCTCTACTATAGAAGGATAGATAGGCAGTCTGTATTATTACCTAAAGTAGCTAGTTACCCTAGGCGCCCTTTGTCCTATATAGGAACGTCCTGGCGTTAAATATAACACACACACACACACACACACAGAGGCGTAGAGACGGAGCAGACAGAGCAAGGCAGCTTTTGTATTCTTCTCTACCTAGTCGTGGACCAACCGAACCCCCGCCCCCCCCTCTCTAACTAACTCTAGAGCGCATCTCAAATTTTTTGTTTTAAAAAAAAGTCGGATGTAGTATCGTGGTAAACTTCAAGAAGCCCGGGCATGTGAGGCGGGATACCCGCCAGCCTGTTTAACTCCAATCCCTTCCACCAGCCTGGCCCAGCCCGGCCCGACCCGACCTCCCTTACCCGCGGCCGGCCGGCCGTCGTGTGCGTCGTGTCAGTCATCAACCTTGTACCGCATGCGGCCATCCTTTTGACAGCAGCTCGTGGAGGGCTTAGCAGATGGCATGGGTTTTGCCATGCTTGCCCTGTATGGAATGCTTTTCCTTCTGTAAGCCCCCACCTGGATTAGCCGACTGCCTCGCGCACGCCTTAAGGGGAGGGGACAAACTCTGAATTTCGGGTGGTTGTGGGAGGCCTTTGAGCTGGTGAGGTGGTGCCTGTGGATGAAGTCCTGCTGGCGCTGGACGCTGGCGTGGTCCATCTGCTCGAGCAGGCCCATGCACAGCTTGATGTCGGCGATGAGGGAGTCGCAGCGGGCCTTGCTGAAGTCCTCGCGGACGACGACGCGGAGCATCTTGAGGTCGTTCGTCTTGGGGGCCATGGTGTAGGCGGGGACGACCCAGCCGCGGACGCGGAGCTGGTGGGCGAGGGCGAACTCGTCGTAGGTGCGACCGCCGTCCTCGCCGGCGGCGGCGTCGTCGGGGAGGCGGAAGGCGACGAGGGGGAGGCCCTCGCCGGAGCGCTTGGACATGATGACGAAGCCGAGGACCTCGAGGGATCGGGTGAGGTAGTCGGCGGTGCGGGTGAGGTTGGACATAATGGCGCGGTAGCCCTTCTTGCCGAGGCGGATGAGCTGGTAGTACTGGCCGATGACCTGGGAGGCGCCCTTGGAGAAGTTGAGGGTGAAGGAGGCCTGGTCGGCGCCGAGGTAGTTGATGTTGAAGACGAGCTCCTGCGGGAGGAACTCGGCGGAGCGCCAGACGACCCAGCCGACGCCGGGGTATACCAGGCCGTACTACCGGGGAGTTGATGTTAGTCGGAGTCGCGTGATGGGTGAGGTTTGGGAGGGGGGGTTGCTGTTTTTCTATACCTTGTGACCAGAGACGTTGATGGAGACGACGTTCTTGAGGCGGAAGTCCCACTCCAGGTCGGGCACGACAAAAGGGGCGACGAAGCCCCCGCTGGCGGCGTCGACGTGGATGGGGACGTCCATGTCCTTTTCCACCAGCAGGTCGTTGACGGCCTTGACGTCCTCGTACTCGCCTGTGTAGGTGGTGCCGAGGATGGCGCAGATGCCGATGGTGTTCTCGTCGACGAGGGCGACGGTCTCGGCCGGGTCGATGACGTAGCGGTCCGGCGCGCAGTAGACGAGCTTCTCCTCAACCTCGAAGTAGCGCGCCGCCTTCTCCCAGCACACCTGGACGGCGCTCGACATGACGATGTTGGGGCGGTCGGCGGGCAGGCCGGCCGCCTGGCGCGCGTTCTTCCAGCGCTTCTTCATAGCGAGGACGGCGAGCATGATGGCCTCGGAGGAGCCGACGCACGAGGTGCCGACGGCGCCGACGCCCGCGCCCACGGGGGCGTTGAAGAGCTTGCCGATCATGGAGACGCAGCGGTTCTGGATGTCGGCGGACTGGGGGTATTCTTCATAGTCTGGAATAGAAGTGTGAGCAGCGGTTGCTGGATGGTAATAGTTGGGGGGAGGGGGTCCTTCTACCTATAAAGTTTTTCGCGAACGATTCGGTCTTTGAGGCTGTTAGGATTGGATTGATTTGTTAAATGGAGGGAGTTTCTGAATTACCATGAGCTTCTCGGCCTCTTCTTCCTGTGGTTGGGGTGGTCAGCACAAGTTGAGGGGGTGGAGGGGGGGGGGGGGGGGGGGGGAACGGATGATGCCCACCATGTAGGTCGTCACGAACGAGGCAAGGCTAAAACAAACATTGCAAAAGTCAGAGACGAACGGGCAGGCGAGAAAGGGAGGGAGGGGAGGGAAGAATGGGGCCTACTTGAGCATGGGGTTGCCGTCGAGGCTGAGCTCGTCCTTGATCATGCGGTAGGCGATGTCCTTGGGCATCTCGTCTTCGGGCATCTCGGCCCTGGGCAGGTCCTGGTTGGCGAAGCGGGAGCCGTAGACGCTGGTGGTGAAGCTGTCATCCTCGTCGGCGAGCTGGAGCTGGACCTTGGAGAGCTGCTGCTGGACCTTCTTGAGCTCGGCGGTGGTGTCCGAGTCGTCGGAGCCCGAGTCGGGGGGCGTGTTGACGGTTGCGAGGTGGACCATTTTTATGTTTATTTATTTCTTCGGGAGGAATTGAGTACTTCTAGCTTATCTATCAACCAATAAAGGGGACAGACTGTGTATGCGTGAAGTGTGTGGGACGAGGCGAGGTTCAGAAAAGGTCGTGAAGGGCGGATGGGAGAGGGCGTTTATATGACGAGTTGGGGGGAAACGGAGCGAATGGAGCTGAGCCGGGATGGGACGAGGCGAGGTAGGGCGATGAGACGTAGATCCGGAGTAAGCGTGTTATGGGAGAGAGCAACAAGAGGGGCAGGGTGAGAAGAGAGGAGGAGGAGTAGCATCTGCTTTCTGCTTTGGGAGCTCGGAAAGATGGCACGTAAAGGAAAGACGGTGACAGCTCGCTAGCTAGGTATCCGTAGCTAGCTAGCTGCAAGTGGGGGGTGACTGATCGGGCAGCTAGCTCAATGTCACTCACTCTCTCATACACGCTGAACCCGGAACACGGGGTGGGCAAGTCGCGGTGTTGTCGGTACGTACCGCTTGCAGCCGGCAACACAGCCCGAATCTACCTACCTACATACCCATTACTACCTACCCTGCCTGTTCACCTACATCATCGACGTGAAGCTGTATGCAGAGTCCTTGGCAGGGCCGATTTACTCTGCCGGGGAGTGGAGGAGGGGAGGAGCAATGAACGAGTGGGCTGAAAGCTTCGGTACGTTCCGTTTATTCCGCAAAGAGTGTCCGTACCCGCACGCGCTTTTCAGCAAAGTTGCTGAATTACTGAGCCGTGACACATTTCGAGAATGCCTTCGTGTTGTGTTTATGCCCTCTGTCGTATCTTTGGGAAACCAAAAGGGGGAAATGGTGGCGATAATCATACCCGCAAATGAGAAGAGATGGTCGGACAGAGACGAGACGACTTTGGGACAACATCAACCCACCAGGAATGGAGTGACAGAGAGAGGGCGGCCTCCCTTTGTCCAATGTTCATCTGCTTCTTTTCTTACCTGCCCCTCCCTCGGTCGGTCCATCTCCCCAAGACACAACGGAAACGCCAGCTTTCCCCAGGTCCCAAGCCAACGCCATTAAAGCTTGGCACGAGTCGACATGTCGGGGTGGTCCACAAGAAACACGACCACGACTCAAAGAGCGAGAGACCCCTACTTGGCGCCGTACGAAGCATACACAAGCACACCAACCCTACTAGGTACTAGCAGCCTGCACCAAGGAAACCTGAATGTTTCGTCCAATCGTCTACTCTGCCGGCCTTCCGCACACACACCGGCTCTCCCCCCTGGGTAGTCGCCAATCATGTCCGCTACGTAGATTAGTACTGCGGCAGACCCGGGACTAGCCCTGACTAGGTAGGGAGGGGGCTGCATGGGTCGTGCCGAACTTCCTCAGCTCCATCGTCCAAGTTGTCTGTCCGTCTATCATCTATCTGGGACAACAATTATGCCTCAAGCGATCAACAGCCATCCTTCTCTGGATAAACCGGCTCGGCCATCAATGCCCAACCCCCAGCACATCCCGGAAAGCCAAACAAATCGAAAACCACTCCCCCCCCAAAAGTCCATGTATGTAAAACGCATCAGACCAGGGGAGGGAGAGGGGAACGCAGACGAGAGGCACCGCTTGTATTTCCCTCACTTTCTTCCTAGGTTGGTATCCAATGACATCACGACCCAGGTGCTCCGGTCATCAACCACCTCACTCATCACCATGTACCCCTCCTCCCCCCCCCCCCCCCCCCGATCCTAAATTTCCGAGAGTGCGGGAAAATCAACAGCCATGCCACTTCTTCTTCGTCTTCTTCGCCGAGGAAACCCCCACGCGACCGCCAAGACGTGTCGTCCAATTCTCAAGAGGGTCCAGAACCCCTCTGGGTCTGGGTGAGCCAAAAAAAGAAAGAAACTTTCCCTTACCAGTGAAGAAACAAACCCCCACTCCCTCCCTCCCATGCATTCATTACCTCCGCCGCCTCCCCGCCTCTCTGTGGCTCAGCTACGCCCCAACGACGAGAGCCGCCACGCGGCCGCCGCTCGTGGTTCGACTTTCGGTCCCATCTGCGTAACCATCCGAAACCTCACGGCTCCCTCCCTCCTTCACCTGATCTCTGTCGGCCCGTCTAATGCCTTTGAACACGCGCTTTGTCTGTCGCCCCGTTTGCAACATTGAACCGAAACTGCTGGCAACCTGGGACTGGCATCATCTTCTTACTTTTGGAACACATCTCGTGTTCCGTCACTCACCAAGCCATGTCCATCTATCCCAGCTCGGCCCCGAGCTTCTCCTGCATCGGGGGGGCCTACGTCTGCTACGCTCGTCTGTCACATATAGCGGCCATCCCGCTCCAAATGCCTTGCTTCATATCAGGCGTGTGGGTTCTTCGTCTATTCCAGGAAGGGCTACCGTCTTTCTGGCCTCGCTAGTGCTGCCTGACCCTCAGCACCGAGGGACCTATGAATGTCGATTCACGAACACGATGCAATGCTTCGTCGCCCGGCCCTACTCCCAGGGTTAAGCCATGGCATCCTCCCATCCTCCCCCATCCGTCATCAATCAACCCTCCGTCGTGTCCATTGCCTCGCCTTGTGCCCTGGCTTTAGCGGCCGCAATCTTCCCCTCTCTCCACTTCTGAATCTTCTCCTTCAGCTCCGTGTGAGGAATCGCATCGTCCACCGTCATCGGTTGACGCGTGAACGGATCCTTGGGGTCCGAGAGCAAGTGCTGCACGATGGTGCCGCGGTCGACAATGTGCTTCGACGGCAAGATGACGGGGTCCTTCATCAGATCGCCCATGATCGGATCCTCGAACTCGGCCGGGATGTCGCCAAGGTCGAGTTCCGCCTGGTCCGAGATCTGCTTCGACTCCTGGAACTTGGCCTTCAGGCTGTTGAACTGCTCGAGCTCGTTGGCATCCTTCATGCTCCGCTTCGACAGAATGAAGCCCGCCTTGTCCAACACCTCGGGCTTGTACGAACGGCCGTCCGAAGCGACCGCGTCGATGAACGCCTGTGACGAGCCCAGGTTGAGGTAGATGTCGACAAAGTCGGAAAGCAAAACTCGAGGCTGGAAGTGGTACTTTGTCGGGTTATTCACCTTGAGCTGGCCCATTTTGGGGCCCGCCAGCGTCTCCAGATTGTAGTTGAGCATACTAGCCAGGCGCTGCACGATTTCGGGCATGGTGAAGGCTGACGCCAGTGCCGACGTGAAGAGTTTCATCATTGCCAGTGTCTCGTTAGCAAGCTGCATGTATGAGCCTGCCTGGCCCTCCAACCCCTGCAGCTCTTCCTGCTTCTTCTCCCTGTCCTGTGCAGACAGGCTATTGCCAAACTCCAGTTCTTGCTGCAACGTGTGGATCTTGGGGAATTTCGTCAATGCCTCGTCGAGTACGTAGGTGGCGTCGTTGAGCAGCAGGTTGACAAACTGAACGAAGAACTGTCGGTTGACCCTAGAATTGGTTAGATATCAAGCATCTCATCGTTTGCCTATAATACCCGAGGTGGTCCAGGTTTTAACAAGGGGCGGGGGTTCGAAGAAAATGGGACGAGCCTGGTCATGAAGGGAGGGAGAGGGGGGGAGGATGGCCAGCTCTTGTCAACTTACTTGCTCTCTCTCGTCAACTGCTGCTTGTAAACGTCGTTGCCCCAGACGCACTTGATGACTTGGAAGATCTCATAACGGATGTTGAACTTGTCGTAGAACTGGGTGTGGGCACCAGTCGACTCCGCCTCAATGTAGAACTTCATGAGCGCGTGTAAGAGGTTTTCGTTTGCGAATTTCGATCCATAGAGCTGATCGCCGAGAACTCCCTTCTTGAAGTGCATGAACGGCCAGGTTCCAGAGTAAAGCAGAGTGACCAGAGAAGACTTGAGGTAGGGATTCTTGATATACTCGGATGAGCGGAGGAACGCAATGCACAGTGCAATCATCTCGCTGCCAACAGCGGATGGCATGATTTGGGGGAGATAGCTTTGTCAAGTCAGCAAAACTCCTCGTCTCCTACTTGATACTGCCTTGAGATGAGGGGTCCTAGGACGAGTCGTCCAGGGGGTAAATATCGTGACACGGCCGTGTTCCTAGTTTGGTGTCGCAAACCAAAGTGTGACTTACCGATACACAAATTTGAAGTTGTCCACTACGTCTTGAAGTGCGTATTCCGGGAGACACGCAAAAGCTTCGGGTGCCTCGGCGGGCAGCGGCAGCTGAAGGTCCTTGTCAGGTGTGTAGTTTGTTTGGCTAGCCAGACGAAGCAGCCAAACAGCCACGTATCGCATGAAGCGAAGCGATAGCTCCTGCATCTTCTCGTCCAAGAACACACCCTCAATGGCGTACTTCATTGCAATGGCCTTCTCCAGAACGGTCGTGTGCCTCTTGAGAGTCAACTCAAACATGGCAAGTTGTGCCGGTTGCTGATGGATACGGGTTAACTCCGAGACAACTTGCACAGCATCCAGATCCGAACACGATGGTCGGCAAAGGGGAAAGACGTAGAACTTACATTCTGAACCTTCGGCCGTTCGGCCTCCATAGCTGTCAGATGTTTTTCGTACCACTTTATGTCGCGCTCCAAGCTTTTGAGCTTCGAGTTTGTTGCCTCACTGCCATAGTGATGTGCTGCAAGGGTCAAGAAAAAGATCTCGGTGATGAAGTTGGAGTTGCCTTCCACTTTCTTAGCATAGAATGCATCAGATGCCGACTGGTCAGCATTAAGCTTCGTTTCTTCCTTGATGTCGACGCGGGGGTCGCGCCGGAAGTATTCCACTTCGATTCTGTCAACCTTTGAGAACGTGGTGTCCATAAAAGGTGAGCAGAACCGGTCCAGGACAACAGTTAAGTTCATCATGAAACCATCTGACGATACTTCCTTGGGATCGACCTGCATCGCCCTACGCTTGTGGTTGGCGTTGATTGCAGAAGCAAACCAATCGAGAACCCGTGCCCGCGTATCGGTGTCTGCTCGGATGAAAGCATTGGCAATAGTAAAGAGTTCGTCCTGGTGAACTCGCAAAATGGCTCGCAAGGCGTCTTGGGATGGTGCTGCGCGGCTCCGGTCCAAGCCTCGCGGGTTGGGGAAGTACGTCAGTGTGACTTCAGACTGCAAGGGTGAAATCCGGAAGAACGGCCCCAAGATAGTGTCTTTTTCAAGCACTGCACCAGACTTCTGTGCCGTCATGAAGTTGGGGTGTTGTGAAATAGCATTCAGCAGAGCAGGGAACTTGGTGTACGACATCAATGCCTGGAAGCAGTGTCAGCTCATTCTATCAAAGACAGACTAGGGAAGGGACTAGGTCAGGAAGAAGTAACACTCACGTTAATGTACGGCTTGTAATCGTTCTCCATGGTGAGGCCAGACAGTTTTATGCTGATAGAATGCATGGCATCGGCAAAGGCCACAGGGAACTGCTCGTCCTCGGGAAACCTTTTCACAGCCTCTCGGAGGAAATCCAGGCAAATTCCATCGTCCTGGTCATGTCCACATAACAGGTACGGGTCCAGGCTCTCGGGTTGCGACCGTCTGGGACTATCGTCAGCATAGTCCAAAGCCATAAGTCATTCTACACAACAGTGTGTGACTCACCCAAACAGATCAGGGATTGTGAGGGCAAACAGGCAGTTGCTGACACATAGTCTTCTTGCTTCTTCCAAAACCTCGCGCTTCTCGGGTGTCTCCTTGACCACATTCGACCGGACGATACGCTTAAAACAAGGAAGAAGGTAGCCAAGAATAGGTTTGTCGGCAGGCACGGCGGTCACAGCTTCCAGAAGGGCGCTATCGAGGACAGCAGTGGTAAGCTTCAGCGGTGACCCATTCTCTTTTAATTCTTGGCTTGCCTCGGACAGGAAGTTCAGCTTATGGCCGTGGATATCGGTAAGGCGTTCCGGGTCGACGGTGATGCGGAAGACGTGGCTGAGGATCCTGTCCGAGAAGTCTTCTACTGATTCTTCCACGTTGGCCTTCTTCGTGGGGGCAGGCGCTGGGGCGCGATCGTCCATCTTAGAGGACCCTCGTTTCTGCGCGCTGCTCTCGGCTGTTGGCGACGCACCGGAAGTGGACCTGACGCCAAGCTGTGAGAAGGGATTCGCGGGGACGGGCGTCGGTGTAGAGGAAGGCGTGACCTCTGCTGGAGATTTGCCCTTGCCTTCGTTCGTCGTGGCTGCGGTCGAGGTCTCGGCATCGTTCTCTGGATTCGGTGAACCGTCTTCCGGCTTTGGGGATCTGTTCGATGACCCGAGCTTGGCCAGTCGTCGAAGTCGGATCTATATCATAGGCAGTCAGAATCTGCAAAATCGTTAAATAGATAGCAGCGCTGGGTGCGACAACGAGCTGGCCACTGTCTGGAAGCTTTGTGGATGACCTCGTAGACGTCATTCTTCGGTAGCTTCGTGCTTATTGTCACCATCGATGTTGCCGCCGCGAGCATGTCAGTATGACAGCGACAGCCAGCAAGACCGAAGATTATCTCAACAGCAACCAGGTTCAGGAGATAGGAGAGGAGGGAGCGGGCAGCTCTTACATCGTTCATCTTTCTGGAATCAGGTGCGTCTGGCGCCTGGCTGTTCTCGTTGGGATCCATGCTGGCTAGCCGTCGTAGTGAGTAGGGAGCCGGTGATGTGTTATGCAGGGTTGCGTACGAAATTTGACGACAGCCTGGCTTCCTAGGACGAGAGTGAGAAAGGCGACGGCAAGGTGTCGACCGTTGAGGTAGGAATGCGTTCAATAGTGGAATTGGTCGTAGGTAGATTGACGTTCAGGGCCTCGCGGGTCACGTAAGGTATCCATCCGACAGGCAACCTTGTTAGGAAAGGTACCACGGCTGGTGGCGGGGAGCAGTTACGGGCAAGCGGAAAAGTGGGGTTGGAGCGGAGCTTTCAACACTGTGACGACTCTCCTCCCCTGTTAAGTCCGACGCGTGGAGTCTCTCCGATTAGCGGGCATCCCACCAGAAGCCCCCCCAAAGTCCGCTCGTCAGACACCACGACTCGTCGATTAATAAGCTTTGGAATTCGCTCTTTCACCTCCCGTTTTCGAGATATTCCAGGACATTCCATATCGAGACTGGTGCAAAACCAACGATTCATGAACTGCGTCTGCTATTGAGGATATGTGTGCTTCTGAAGAATAGCATGCTGCGTTCGACTGTGCCATTTGGCCTTTATGCCAAGTTATGTTCTTGCTTGGCGCAGCCTCGAAGTAACCAATGCCGCTACGGCATTGCGGCGCACAGTGGCATTAGGTGATCGTGCCCCTCGACAGCAGATGGGCATTGCCAGATCGAAAACAACGAAAGACCCCTAAACCCTTCATTCAATGTTGAAACCAGTCTACCATTGGACGCGTTCAGACGATGAAACAAAAGTAGGAAACCCGTTTGACGAAACGTACGTCATCGTCATCGGAAGTGGCGATGAAGTTCGGCGAAAGAGGGGCGGAGAGATATGAGGGGCATACAAGGTGAGTGAGCGCAATGGATCTAGGCTCCAATCGAACAGATGGAGTGTCTGGCTGGGTCAGCCTTTGAAGGTTGTTTGCCCACTCCTGCGAGTTTGACTGACGACGATACCATCATGGTATTATAGATTTGGGACATGTTGTTCACCAGTCTGTCTCGGAGACAACGTGCATGTGTCTTTGAATATATACGCATACGAGAGAATGTCAAACTTTGTTTTTGAATGGGCGTCTTGCTGGGTAGCTGACAACCGCAAGGGTATTTCCGTGCCTTTCCGTTTTACGCACCGCATTTCCGGTGCCTATTTGTCCCCAAACGCCATGGAAAGCCAAATGTTTTACTAGTACATGACCACGCGACCGAGGAGAAATAAAGAACAAAGGCCCTGTATCAGTATCGTCCATCAGGTGCTGGTTTGCCTAGAGGCCCACGGGCCAATTGACCGGACCATAGACTTGGGAAGCACGCATACATGCATCCTCGATGGCAGCTCTGGCCATTGTGTTCGTGGGGAAATCGTCATGCCCACCGTCTTCCGCTGACTAGAGCAACAGCATATCGGTGGGAGGAGGGCCCTCAGAGGCGAGGGATGCCATTCGAGCCGTCGCTCAGCCGCCGAGAAGTCGAGGGGGCGGCTCCGCCATCGCTATCGGAGCCGCCGCGCGTCCGGCTGGTGCTGCTGACACTACGGTTGGCCAGGCGGCTACGCTCGATTTCTTCACGGCTCTTGTTCATGAGCCAGGCCATGTGCATCTTGAGTACTCCTAGTGTGCTCCTGATCTCGGTGATCTGATCCTTGATCGGCATGACCTGGTTCAAAACCATGACCGTCTGCCGTCCTTCCAGATCGGTAAACTCCTTCTTGAGCTCCTCCATGCGACGTTCCATGTCTTCGTAAATGGTCATGACAGCCTCGGTGGGTTTGAACTTGGCTCCTCCTGGGACGTCATTCAGGCTGAAGACGTCGTCCCAAGAGATGCAATCCCGTCGCTCGTCCTTCAGCTCCATGATCTGCCGTTCCTGTTCTTCCGTCTGCTTTTGCAGCCTCTCGATCTGCTTCTCTTGGGCGCTTACCTTGTCGCCGACGACGGCAACCACTTTATAGATGCACTCGTCTTTGTGAACGCCAAGGATTTTGCGAAGAGTCTTGTAGGTGCAGCCGTAAGGGGAGTATGTGCAGGGAACCGAGGCCTCGGGGCAGCTGTTGTCACGATGCTGGCTTACTTCAGACAGCTTTATCGCCTCGCCGCAGTCGGTGCAGTCTGTCGTGTTTTTGGTGCATTTATTGTTAATGTGGTCCGCCATCGAGGCAGCCTCCATCTTCTCCTCGCAGTACTCGCATGTCTGTTCAAAATGCCAGCATTTACCCGAGACGGCCAGCCACTGCTCCACTCTCTTATCGCAAGCCTTGTCGGGACAGTCGTGCAGCGTGTACCTGCAGTTGATTGTGTGCTTGACGACTTCCTCGCGCTTCATCTTTTCGCCGCATCCTCGCTCGGAATTGGGGCACTCGACTACGAGACTGTCGAGGATGTTGGTCAAGAGTCTCGAGGTCTTGCAGTCCTTGGCGCGGAATCTTGTTCGATCGATGGGGCAGGTATCGGACGAATGGAAATGGCGCTTCAAGCATTCGAGACAGAAAGTGTGATCGCAGGGCGTGATTATGGGGGTGATGACGGGAAGCTTGCAAATAGGACAGAGCAGATTGTCGTCGGGTTCATCGACATAGATCAGAGCGGAGAAGTCGAGCAGTTCCTTGACTTTGCTGGAGCTTAAGGAATATCGCAGGGCTTCACGGGTGGCAAGTTCTTCGACGGGCCACTGGTTAGGAGTTCGAGCTGGTTGCGAGACATTAGCGAGGTAGCAAAAGTGGGAGCGTCGTTCCTTCGGTGCCCAAACTCACGCGTAAGAGGAATAGGAACTCCCTCGACGGACCGCACGGCCCCCTCAACGATGTTTTGAACGAGATGCGTGATGGTTGAATCATCACCGGGGAAGCCTGGCTGCGACATGATGGATGCTCAGGCTATCTAGCGGCCACTGGGTGAAATGGGAATGATCAGACGTTCAGGAGGACCATGGTGTGTGTGTGTCGGAAATGATGGAGAAATAGATGAACGGGTAGGTTGCTCTCGCAGGTACTGTGGGTGTCTTCAAGGCAAGGCAAGACAAGGCGGTGACGGAATGATGTGGTTTTCTTGTGGATAGGATGGTTGCGATGTTTCGTGGTTGAGGCCCAATCCATAGATGGGGTCGTGTGTGGGAAGGAAACTATGGAGGTTCCCGTCCGTCCCGGCAAACAAACTGAGGGACGGGGACCGGTGACGTGACCTGAGCCGAGGGTCTGATTAAACCGATAACGCTGGGGAAACGGCTACTAAGAGACAGTGTCCATATCAATAACACTGTCAGCCGGCACAGTCCCCGCACATGGCATTGTCGGCCAAGTTGCATATGCCTCGTCCAGATTGCGGCCGTTTCCTTTCTTCGTCTATCGAGAAATGCAAATTACGCATATGCAAAATGGCATCTAGTTACGGCGCCCGCTCAGTTACCACCGCAAAGCCAACATCATCCCCAAACGTTGTCTTATCCGGCTCATACCATCGCATGCCTTTCACTAAGCCGGGGTGTTCATTCATCCATTTCGATTTCGCTGGAGAAGCTACTTGGAAGTTGTGGGCTCGGTGCTAGTTGCGAGAGCTCCTGACTGGTCGACGACCAAAGGTTGGATATCCATCTCTATAACATCGCTCGTAGCCCAAGCCGAGTTATTGTGCATGATGCTACGTCCATTATATGAGATGGCGGTTGACATCAGACAGGCCTTTCACAAGATGAACCGGCACCCACTCCAGGCAACCAAATTGGACATTGGCCAATTCCCTACCAAGACCGCCAGATAGGCTTTGTTATTCAGCTGCGTCTTCCCGCATCCCCCAAAACCGGCTGGTCGTAAACGCGAATGTGACCTGCCTGCATGTCACGTACTTGATGCATGCATCGTCTGGATATTACGTGAGATTCGCCAATTCATCGCGCCAGCCAACCTCCCCGCATCGAACCGAGACACCAACGCTATATTCTCCGACGTGTTTGCCTCCAACTTTGGGCCAGCCGAGCTCGTCCATCTCGCCATCGCTTGCCGCCAGCCTGATGTTGTGGCGCCTCCATCTGGATCCTGGACCCTGAACCCCAGCCGTAGCGTAGCACCGCGCCGCGCCTGCCCAGCCTCATTTCGCAGCCATTGATTGTCCAGGCTGCCACATGCAAAACCAGGGATGTGCTGCACTCAGGCGCACTTGCGAGCCGCTTGGCTCTTCCAGGATCCAAGAGGTCGTCCTCCCATCATCTTTTTCATTCGCCGTCTTGCGATGCGACAGTGTGCTGGCTAGGTCCCAGAGCTAGCGCCGCCAATCCCTGCTCCCAAAGCCACCACTGGCCCGTCAGCCCTAGATGCCAGGGTCATGAGGTGATAGATAAGTGTGTCGCGGCGGGGAGCTGCTTGGCTTTCCATGCCAGAGAGATATTTAAACTGGTGTTGTATCATTATGAACCCCGACTGAGTGGCTGCTGCTCCAGTCAGCTTCTCCTCCTTTACGAGACAATCTTCTCAACCCGGCTCAACGAAACGTCTTTGATCCCGGCTCTGTTGGATCACCAGACCTTAATCTACACACTATGGCGACCTACGGTGACCCCCCGCCAGCCGTGGTGCCCGCCGTACCATCTGGAAAGCGCAGCAAGAAAGCCCCTCAGGAGATTCTCTCCGACTTCTGGAACAAGTTCCATTCGAAGCACCCCGGGAAGGTGACATCCATCTTCCCCCGGTCCCTCTATGCTTCTCTGCTCCCCGACTTCCAGCCCCGGGGCGCCTCGTCTAACCGCAACGCCCAAGAATCCTACGAATCCGCCGCCCGTGAGTGTCGAGAGAAGGTGAAGCGCATCGTCCGCGAGTGCGACCGGACAAACGAGAAATTCACCGATGCAGATTTCGATATCGAGCGTGACCCCTACAACAACTGCCTCAACGGCCTCGTCCGCGACTTTGACTTCGGTCCTGGGGGCGGCGGCGGCGGCGCGGCTGATGATGGCCCCAATGTCAGCAGCTGGGATGTCAAGAACAGTTTCGACACCTTGGCTGCTGCTCAGGTCTTGGGGCCCAACTCCACCATTCCCATCGACCCGGCCGTGGTGAGCCGCTTTCTGGGGAGCAGCGATGATAGCTGGAATCCCTTTGCCAGTGCGAGAAGCGGCTCAGGGGCGCGAGCGGGGCTAAGATCGGGCCCTGTCAAGGCCCCCAAGCGTCAGGGTGTCCGGGGAGGCGAGTATTATAGCCCGGGCTCCATCCATCGTCTCGACTGGATCTTTGAGTCGCCTCAGTTCACAGTCAATGGCTACTCCTCGTCTGACATCAAACAGGGGGCCAATGGCGATTGCTGGTGGCTCGCCGCCGTCGCAACGATTGCGCACCGCAAAGACCTTATGCAAAAGGTATGCGTTGCGCGTGACGAGGAATGCGGTGTTTATGGGTTCGTCTTCCAGCGTGACGGCGAGTGGATCTCGACCGTTATCGACGATAACCTCTACCTCAAGGAGTCTGACTTTGACTATTACGGCGACGTCTACGACGCCAGCGGCAAGAAGGCCCGTCTGCACCGCAAACGCAACCAGACGGGCTCCGACGCCTTGTACTTCGCCCGCTGCGAGGACCAGAACGAGACATGGCTGCCGCTGCTCGAAAAGGCCTATGCCAAAGTCCACGGCGACTACGAGGCCATCTCGGGCGGCTGGCCCGGCGAAGCGGTGGAGGACATGACGGGTGGCGTCACCTCGACAATTGCCACTAACCGAGTGCTTCGGAAGGACAGGCTCTGGAAGGAGCTTGTCAACACCGATGGCGAGTTTGTCTTTGCTCTGGCCGCCATGGGCACTGGCTGGGACTGGCAGAAGAGCGGTCTCGCACTGGGACACGCGTACTCCATCCTCCAATCCCGAGAAGAGGTGGACGAGGACGGCAAGAAGGTCCGCCTCGTGCAGATCAGGTAAGCCCTCTTGGTAGCGGTGGATTTTGAGCAGGCCGACTAACGCTTCTCCCTGCCAGAAACCCCTGGGGCGAACGATCCGACGGCGGTGTCGGCGAGTGGAATGGCCCCTGGTCCGATGGCTCAAAGGAGTGGACGCCGTACTGGCTGAAGCGATTGAACCACACGTTCGGCGACGACGGCGTCTTCTGGATGTCGTACGAAGACATGCTGTCGACGTTCATGTACATCCACCGCACCCGCCTGTTCGACGAGAAGTGGACCGTCGTACAGCAGTGGACCTCGGCCAACATCTCTTGGGTGACAGGCTACCTTCAGACCAAGTTCGTCATCGAGGTCAAAAAGTCGGGCATGATCGTGATCGTTCTTACGCAGCTCGACGACCGATACTTCCATGGGTTCGAGGGCCAGTACTGGTTTGAACTGCACTTTGTCCTACAAAAGGCTATCCCGGAAGCCGCCGGCGACAAATCCAAGGAGGGAGAGAATACGAAAAACGCCCCCGAGCCGGAGCAGATCTGCCGTGTCCGCCCCGTGCATAAGTGGGAGAACCGCTCCGTCAGCTGCGAGGTCGATCTGGAGCCTGGCGTATACGAGGTCCTCCCCAAGGTGGCGGCCTCGCGCCACTACAACGGCGACGCCGCCAAGCCCGTCGAGGAGGTCGTCAAGGAATACGCGGAGCGCAACCCGCAGAAGCTGCGGCAGGTCGGACTGCAGTACGACATAGCGCACTCCAAGGGCGGCGTGCGGGACGAGGACGGGCTGATTGAGAAGAAGAAGCTCGAGGCGAAGCAGAAGAAGGAGAGTAAGAAGGCCAAGAAGAAGAAGAAGCAGAAGAAGGCGCTCGGCGTCGCGGCCAAGGCACTCGAGGAGTCAGCCAAGGTCGTAGCGGAGCTGGCCAACGAAGGGAACAAGACCGAGGAGAGTAAGTCCGCGGTGAAGACGGAGACGAAGAAAGAGGCCGGCCAGGAAAAGGAGAAGGAGAAGGACGGCGACTGGACCGAAGTCAAAGAGTCCGACAAAGACTCTACCGGTAGCAGCCAGAAGTCCGTTCCTACAGACGATAAGCCAGCAGGCCTGACTGGTTCCAAGCCCAGCGACGGGCCCGTGCCGGAGCCCAAGAAGGAGGACGAAAAGAAAGCCGAAGAGAAGACAGAGGAGAAACAGGATGAGGGTAGGGAAGACGCTCCCGCCGTCAAGGAGGCCGGTACGGCCGAGGCGTCCGTTGTGCCCTCGCCTGCCACCACAGAGGAAGAGGTTCCCGTGGAAGCGCCAGTCGAGGAAGAAGAGGACTCGGAATCGGACTCGGACTCTGACACCGAGTCCATCGTCGAGGATGACGGCGAGGAGCTTACAGGCGCACCGTGGAACGCTGTATGCGTGCTTGGCCTGCGGGTGTACTCCCAGGACTCGGACGTCGCCATCAAGCTGGTCAAGCCTAGCGACGAAGAAGAGGCTGCGAGTTTGACGGTTGACGGAGAGGCTGCCGGGGCAACTGCGTAAGGGGGTTTGCATGATGATGTTATGGTTGATACGATTGTGATGGAAATGGTGGATGCCAATTCTTATTTGTTATGTAGTCGAAAGTCCAGAGCTGCATTCTGACGAGTGATATTTGGCCTCGTGTCTTGATATCAAGCAAGTCTGAGCAAGCCTTTCTCGGTGGTATTAACAGTGGTGACCTCCCGTCCAGATCTCAAAAAGAAACGATACCAAATCATGGTCCCTATCATCGACTTGTTCGCTGCAAACAGAGTGGAGGAGGGGTAGCTATCTCTGAGGCCTTTGATCACGATCCCCCATGAAGAACAGCACTCGAGAGAAACGACGATGTCTCGCCTTCCTTGTGGAATGGTAAAGGCTTCTCTGGTCTCCATTGAGAACCCGCTATGGCAGTGTCGTTTGGATCACACCATTGCCGTTCTTCCGTGTCCTTCTTTACTGAACCTTAAGAGACTGCCAGTTAAGGAACAGATTCGTAATGGGCCTAATGATTGCTGCTGCAAAACAGGACTCAAGAGCACGCATTCATCAATCAGGTACCATTCCACGTCAGCTCCCTAGTCACTTTCCAGAAGACATACTTTTGAGCATACTTCTAGAAGTATGGGTTGTAGAGGTTGCCGCCATCAGATTACACCTAATTAAAGCCGGTTTTCCCCTCATAAGGTTATGCCCATATTACGTGTGTATAAAGGTTCTCTGCATGTTTCGAACAAAAAAATCTATCATCACACAAGACACGCCTACATCCAGCCAGGACCCTTAACAAAATGAAAACTCTGTCTTCTGTCCTGAGACCACCGGTCCTTGCATGTTCCAGCAATGACAACTAATTTATAACAAGGAACAAAAAGACAGCCAGAACGGGAGGTCGATCACACAATCACAAGCACCGTGTATCGAAGGGAAGATCTACACTCAAGGGGACAGAGTTCGGCATGCTCACCAAAACGACGGGTATGTCCGTTTGATAGGCGCGTTCCCGCGGTCCAGGGAGATCTGGGGCCGTCATGTCCATCACGGTTGATGACGACCAAGTCCGCTGCAAGCCAAACACAACAGCCACGCCCTAAAGTACGGGACCAAAAATGGAAGTCATGTTGGTTTCACGAACAGAGTCCAGACTGCGGATCTGCTTGTTGTCCAACCATCATGGTTGCAATCCTCTCACAGAAGCAACAGAGCGGGCTCGTCACAGGAGTGTGAGGGTTATTCACTAGCCAAACGGAGCACAGGGCAGATTTTTACAGAAAACCGGGGGAGCAAGCAAGATCACCCCATCACCATCGACTTCTGATACTGGCGCAGATGTAGCCGTCTTCAGATACGCAGACGGAGCGTCACGAATGCCGCGAAACGCCACGAGCGAAACGCCCGAAGACCGAGAACGAAGACCGAGGGAACGGAGCCGATGACGGGCACACACACACACACACACCCAAGTCTCCGGCCCTAAGCGTGCCGTGTCTCTCACGAATCTGGGACATGAACACATGGGGAAGTCGTTGGCAAACCCGTTTTGACTCGAGATTTGTTATTCTTCTACAACCTCGAAAGTAAGGGGAAGGAAGGAGGACCCGCCGCCGGCCTCCCAGGCATCTCCCGGGGCATATTCCCCATCGCGATATTGGTATCTCTTTCTCCCCACGGTCCTCTTGGCGGCCAGTAAACAACATTGGACCTACCCCCTCCCCCCCGCTGAGTGGGTTTCAACACAAACAAGTCTCACATGGAGGGCTCTTCAAACAAGTGTCGTAGCACGATGTCAGTGAGCACCGGAGAAAAGGACGTCACGTCTACCACGGCCCCTCCTTCCGCGCCCCTCCCCGAAGTCCCATCATCAAACATCGGGTCCTGTCACCCCAACAAAGACACCTGTCGTGACGGCACATTTACCCGTCGCCTCGAACGGCCGGGGAACCGCCTAAGCTCTCGTCCCCTGATGCCTGGCGACGACGCCCTCCATCTCCCCGACCAGCTCCCGCTTCCTCGCCTCGGAACACCAGCTCCCCTCGACGGCCCCCGTCGCGATGCCGCGCCACTCGTCGACGCTCAGCCCAAACGCCTCCTGCACCGCGCAGTAGTTCTCGAGGATGTACCCGCCAAAGTAGGCAGGGTCGTCGCTGTTGATGCTGAACCGCACACCGCTGTCGAGAAAGGCCCGGATGGGCATCTCCCGCATGTCCCGCACGCCGCGCAGCACGACGTTGGACACGGGGCACAGGCTCAACAGCGTCCCGCCCGCCGCCAGCCGCGCCAGCAGCGCCTCGTCCTCGGTCGACCGCCGGCCGTGGTCGATGCGCTCCACTCCCAGATCGTCGAGGGCCGAGACGACGTACGCCGCCGGGCCTTCCTCGCCCACGTGCGCCGTGCGCCGGACCCCTGTCTCCCGGGCCGCGTCGTAGACGGCCGCGAACATGGCGGGCGGGTACGGCGCCTCGCTGCTCGACATGCCCAGCCCCGCGATGGTGCCGTCCCGGAAGTGGCCCGCGTCCCGCGCCTCGACGAACATGCGCATGCCGTCCTCGACGGGGCAGTGGCGCAGGAGGCATACAATGTACTCGACCGTCATCTTGAAGTCGGCCTCGGCGCGGCGGCGGGCCCGCCTCAGGCCCTCGATGACGGTCTCGTACGCCACGCCCCGGCTGGTGTGCGCCTGCGGGTCGAAAAAGACCTCGGCGTGCCGCACGTTTTGCGAGTGCGCTTTTGCGAAGTAGGCGTACCCCAGCTCCTCAAAGTCGGCCGCCGTCAGCAGGACGGAGAAGCCGATGAAGTAATAGTGCAGGAAGTCGTCGAGCGAGGTGAAGTTGCGGTACCGCTCGTACAGGGCCTCGACGGACGTGAAGGCCGGATCCCTGTCGACCGGCAGGGGGACGCCGTTCTGTGCGGCGAGTTGGAACAACAGCTCGGGCCCCAAGGAGCCCTCGATATGGATGTGGTGCTCGCACTTTGGCAGATCGACCAAGAAATCATGGAGGCCGTCCCTGCACATGTTGGGCACCTATATGGGTGTGTGCGTGTGGGTGTGTGTGTGCGTACGTGCGTTGTATGGGTGTGCGTGGTGTGTGTACGGATTGCCAGCGAGAGCGAGAGAGGGAGAGGGAGAGAGAGAGAGAGAGAGAGTGTGTGTGTGTGTTTGGGATGTGTGACGACCGGCTTGGATCAGGACGTACGGTTGATGTGCGAGAGGATGCGAGATTGAGGAGATGGAGGTACAGACAGACATGTTTCAACAGGAAAAGTCTGCCCAACACGGACGGCGGGTTTCCAACGTCTCGTTTGTCGTTCACGACCAAAAATAGATCTCGGAGACCTTCTGGAAGGCTTCGAAAAAGGATGAGCGCAAGGCTAAGCATCTGCCTGCCAAACTTTCTCCTCATCCTTGCGTGTCATGTCATTGGGGCCCCCAAAAACCAAATCTCAACTTTCCGAGTTTGGGACCAGGTCGGTCCGGACATGCCCCCGTATCGTGTGGTTACATGATCGGGAGGCCCTCCCCTCGCCTTCCCATTGAGCGCCGTCGGCGAGCACCGTCTCGGGTAGATCGGTGGAACGCGGCGAAGTGAGACCACCGGGGCCTTCGTTGGGCCGCTAGACTAGCTACTAACTAGCATCTGCCCGTGGATGGATGCCAGCGAGTTATCCGGCTCCGCCAACCGTTTTCTCGCTCTTCTCGGTCGAGACATGCAGTAAGCCCGGGCTCCACGTCTCCAGGGACCGTCTTTTTGCGGGTATTCAAACCAGTCGGCGGTGGTGGTCGCCATCGGCGCCCGGAGAAACAAGCGGTTCAAAACGTTCCATCATCGGACCAGGGGGACCCAGTGTACCGAAGGGTAGAGGAGGGGAGGAGGTGCGATTCGACTGTCAAGTATCAGGTTCCCCTGACCAAGAAACTTCCCACACCACGGCTTCGGGGAGGGGTGGGAAGAAAGAAAAAGAAGGAGAGGAAGAAGAAGCCTCGCCAGCCGAAAGGGAAAAAAAAAAAAAACCCCTACCCCTTCCATCCCTCTTCCTGCATTTGGCCCATTTTTTCCCGGTTCATGACGCCTGCGGCATTAAACGCACGACCAGCGTAGCCGTCGAACGACAGGATGGTTTGAAATATCCATGTTGAAGCGGGCTAAGAGTAGCATCGACACCGGGGGGTAGGAGGGAGGAGAGAGAGGTGGGGGAAGACCACATTGGACGAATATGACCTACGACAAAACAAGCACTGCACGATTAAGCTCTACGCCCCTCTCTCCCTCCATCCCTCCGCGGGTGTCAACGTGGCGCAGTTCGAATCTCGAGGGCTGCTGGCCGAGCTTGGCCATGACCGAGGCTGAGGAGAATACTATCCATCCCATGAGATCATACCTTTCGTTCCACAGCCCTCGAAATGTGTGTCGATGCCGCAGATCTAGAGGACCGGGGGGGTGGGGACGGGTTGCTGCTTGCCGGGCAGCAGGTTGGGAGCGCACGGCGCGCCAAGAGGAACAAAGAAGGCGATTAGAATCGGCAGGGCTATGACAAAACATCAGAAGACCGTCCCTGAATAGCATCCTTTCTTCAGACACCAGATGAGAATTGCCCGATGAGGCGAGACGACCAGGCACAAGGCACAAGGCACAAAGTTGCACACCCATACACACTCACACACTCTCATACACCCGTACTAACCCATGTACGTATTCGTACACACTTAGGCTGAATCATGACGGCCCCAACACTTCGAGACTGACGGCAGGTTCAAACGGCTGCCGCAGACGGAGGTCATACCACCGGCCGAATGGGAGGCCGGGGAAGGGGGGGGGGGGGGGGGGGGGGCTTTAGCGGTCCGGCAGCGGCCAGCACCGTTGGATCTCGGAAGCCATCCAACTGGTTCGCGCATCCAATTGCACCGCACCATTGCCGCTGCTAGCTAAACCATCCTACCGAGTCTGGCCACTCCAAGGTTCGAGGTCCCTGGAAGAAAGTCTCTTACATAGTAGGTACGTCTGGAAGGCGGTCCCTCTCGAGGTCGCGCAGGTACACCATGATAGTGACAATGGAAGAAAGTCTCGAGAATCGCAACGACCCCTTCCGGTCCCCCGCCCCCTCTCTCTCCGTCTCCTGCCTTACCCCCCTCCCTTTCCTCCCATGACACAAAGGAGAAAGGGGCATGCCGCTTCTAGTCTAGTACCCAGACCTTGAGTTGTTGCTTTTTCCTGTTACAGAGGCCATCGACCGCGTAAAAACCAGGCTGCCGCCTTCCTGGGGGAGTTTCTCACCGGTGAGCCGAAGGACGAAAGACAAGAAGAGTGGCGCTGTTCCTCCCACCAAGGCCGATATATGCAATGATCGGAGCATCGTGAAGGGATGATCCCAGAGCCGATTTCAACGTCGACTTGGCGTCTCAAAGGGGGAGGGGGAAGACAGCCGATCGCAGATCCCTAAGATGTCTGACTGAACTGCGGGGGGGGGGGGGGGGTCGGTACGGACCAAGGGAAGAAAAGAAAATAAAAAAGAAAAAAAAGAAAAGAGAAAAAGAAGCCCACTATAGACCGGGGTGGATTTCGGTGGTCAGATCGGTCGTCTCCTCGATGGGCCGGGTTAGCCAACCGACGGCGTATTTTACCAATCCCTGGTTTGGAGTCTACGCCGCACTTGCATGGTCGGATGGTTGCGTTCGCATCGTCGGCACCGAGGAGGGTGATACCATAACGTACCATTTCCCTTTCCTCAGGTCCTGGACTCTTTTTTGTCATAATATCAATGTTGGATGATTGCTGCATGTGCTCGGCCGGGCTGTTGCTCCGACCCGTCGAGCCTAACCAAAGGTCCCCTGGGCTTAAAGCAGCCAAGCCTTCCGCAAAGGCGCGGCCATCTGGCGAGTTTATTAGATATATGCTTTGGTTGTCAGCCCCATCCATGCCTGGCACGGGCTGTGTCCCTACGGCATCTGTGACGTGAGCCGTCGCGACCATCCATCTCTACCCCGACCAGAAGCCCTCCCGCCAGTCGTGCTCAGAAGCTTATCGACAGTGTCATCCCCGGTGAGCCGCGTATGAAAAAGGGTTGAGCTGTCTTGACTGGCTGGCCACCTATCAATCTCAATCATCCCTCGTATGTTTTTAAGCTTGTCATGGCCGTTTCCGCATGCGCTCGTGCGTGCGTCCAAAGGCTTGTGCGCAATATACTCGATGGCGCTTTTCGTGGTTCGATGGAGAGGGAGAGGGAGAGGGGGAGAGAGAGATATGACGAGTCTACCACCTCCCTTCCCGTTCTAATTCTGGTCTGCGGTCTGTTTGAGGCCGCCAACCATCTCTCATTGCCATACTTCCCCCCTCATCGTCGTACCTTATCCGAAGACTTGGGATGCGACTAAGAAACCTTTTTTCTGTTCCAAGATTGACGCGACGACCTCGGACCACGAGGCATTCGAACTTCCCGTTGACACGCCCGAGCGGTGGTCCTGGTAGAGTCCTCCCAGCCGTTCTCCAGCTTTGCCCGTATCAGAATTGTAGACGAGAATGCTGTGCTCCCCGTCCGCCCAGCCTCTCTCGTGTAGGAGAGAGAGCCTGAACATCCCCCGCATTTGTTTGTGGCTGGATTGGACTCCCTTCGAGTGATTTGGCCATAGCCGTGACTCCGTAACCATTCCCCAAGACTACTATTATAGGTCGGTCGTCTCCGGCGTAGCGTTCAAAAGATGAAAGAAAAGAGGCGGGCAATAATTGACGGGTTGAGATAGGTACGCGAATACATATCTTCTTCCTGAGAGGTTGCATCGCGCGCCGGAGGTGAGACAGCGGCACTATTGGGCATGTGCTGCGACCACGGCCCGTCTCCGTCGCATTGAACCGTCGGCGTAGTTGTTTCTAGTATTACGGCTTAAATCGCGGTGATACGATATTGCTAGCACGCCGTCCCGGTGTCCATTGGCATTGCAGCCACGTCACATGGCGTATCCATCCCGAGTGGGCGTGTCCGGTAGCTAGCTGGATCCATTAATGGTAGTGCAGTTGTAGTAAAGGCTTGAAGCCGGCTGGCTAGTGTGTATGTTGTCTGGCGTCGGCCAAAAAAGGAAAGCCTAAGGAGAAGCGGTGGTAGATAATCCCGGCCATGGTGGTGCCGGCCGGAGGAGGAACCCCCCCCCTCCCATCTACTACCTGTCATGCGGGGTTGAATGACACCCACCATCGAGCCTGTGTTCTGGTTGCGGTTGATCACGCTGCCTTTCCCAGGAGCTGTTCCTTCTCGGCGGAGATACCGAACGGCACGCTGAGTTCAAAATCCAGAGTATGTGGCGGTCGGTGGCGTCTCTAGAACGCTGTGATTGATCCAACCTGGGGCGCATCTGCAACCTGGGCTGCTGCAATGATACCTGTAGTGTAACCTGCACTTGTACATTGTCCGTTCGGTGTCTGCTTTTGAGAGGGTGTAGCTTGGAAGGGGGTGGGAACCGGAGCATGTGCCACTTTGGACGCAACTCCGTCTAAGGGGCCCGGTGGCCGGTGACGGCTGCTTAGCTTCTCGGTTATCATCCAGCTGCATCAAAGTGGAGTGGGCAGCAGATTGGCTTCGCGGATGGAACCTGGCCAGTTCCCTACTACTACATAGTAGCAGGAAGTATACGGATACAGGTAGGTAGGTAGGTAGGTGTGTGTCCGTATGGGCCACCGACCAGGCATCTTGAGCTCAAGCTCGAGCTCGCTTCGCCAGGCGACGCCAATGGAGCCAGCAAAGCCTAGTTTGCGGTTCGTTATGGATGTGGAACAGGAGAGGCACGGATTTCCCGGCTTCCCCTAGAAAACTCTAACACAACATTCGTGCCTCTTCCAGATCAACCAAAGCCACGCTCGAGCCGAGAGAGAGAGAGAGAGCGAGCGAGAGAACGAGCTGTGGGTGGGAAAGTCCGTCTGACCGGTACCGGTACCATACCCAGTACTATGTATACACAATTCGGGCGTGCCGCGCGCGTCGTTCCATGTCATGGTCTAAAGTTCGGCTATTAATATAACCAGAGTGCGGAGTCGATCACAGTCTTCCCACAGATTCGGCATTCGGTTGTCATCAGTTGCTTTCGGCTCCACAGCTCCTTTCGGACATGGCCCCGACTATAGCTATAGCTTATGCTATTAAGTTGTGGCGTCAAAGAGAAGCGAGCCATTATCGGCCAAGGTAGTAGCGAAGAAAAGAAAGGCGTCAATGAGGGGGACGGGGGTTTGTTTATACGACGTATATATCCTAACGTGCCCAACAATTCCGTGTCAAATGTGACGAATTCTGGCGGCATGCACGCACGAGGGGGGCAAGCGTGCAACCTCTCTGTCGGCGACTCCATTGTCTCCAGTCTCCCCTCCCCATGTGGTACTTGTCGGGATCCCTGACATGATTGTTGTTATTTCGCAACCTTTACCAACATCGTCATTCTCGTTCCCTGTACGGATACTCGTAGGGTCTGCGGCCACCGGGGCGGGCCCCGCTCGCGTGGCCATACTTTCTCCCTCTCCCTCTGCCTGGCGCGCGTTGCCGATTCAAACATGATATACGGAGTATACATAATAGTATGTCTGACTTGGGGGTTCGCGTTACATTGCCGTGCGCCGGTTGGGACCTAATGAGTCGTGAAGTGGATGTCTCCATTCCGGTGCTCGGTTGTATCGCGGTGTGTGGTACAGCCGCACCGGGCGGGGCATAATCTGCCACCGATCTGCGCTTCCGTCGCTCAAGAATGGTTCTATCATGGTCGGAAAAGCCGTGAAAGTCCGATATACCACAGCAGTCAGTATGGTTGCAAACAGCAACATGTGGAACGCGGCGGATTTCTCGGACCATGCACAGTAGACACTTGTCGTGATAACCACCCGCAGTGTCTCATATACACTTCTTCCCTTCGTCCATTGCTCCGGGATTCAGCCATGACATAACCTCCGTCCCAAGCAATCGTCGGCAGGCCTGATATATCCTCTCCAAGACTGACTGACTGGAGGAGGGAGATAGCTCAGACATCTCGGGAGCGAAATTGGCCTGTATGACCATGGATTAGCATCACTGCTCAAGTGGAGGAACTGATTGCTGTTTCCTGCAGGGAAACGGGTCGCGTTAAAGAAGGACAATTTCGGATTTGCGGAGTCAGACTTGCAGAGCTTCTCTACCAAGTCCGATAATCCCGCCGTCGACTCAGGATACATGTAGGATTGTAGCCTGTCATCCGGAAGACAACACAACCCCCTCCCACTCCCTGACACGGAAGATACCGGCAGGTCTCTGTACCAAAGGGTTCTGCCAACGATGGGCCGTTCGTTGTATGGCTCTATGGGCTCGCCAAAACCGGGGGTATCATTACTGGCGCGATGCTGAATCTTGGCTGCATATACCCACCCCCTTCGTGGGCAGCTATGGCACTTGAAGCAGCGAGCAAGCCAGGGGTTTGGGAATCAGTCTTGCCCCCTGTGATGGCTTTGCTAGGTAGTTGTGAGCGTGATTGGCGTGCCGCTGTGGTATGTGCGGTGGCACACGGAAAAGTTGTAGCGTACAGTGCCTTGCCAGATGTTGCCTCGCGGACGCGTGGGCTTCGGGAAGTAGGAAGCTGTATGACCATGCATCGTCCCAAGCTCGTTGTCAAAATGGAGCTCTGGATTGAATACGTATGGTCTTTAGGAGCGTAGGTAGGTATCGAGGTATCGTCGCGAGGTCGGACGACGCTAGTCTTCTCTTTCCCTTTCCTTTTCCCCCTTCCCCGACTCCCCAGCCTATAATACAATGGGGCATGTTATTACCACAAATGCTCGTGTTGAGTAATCTAGCCAACAAGAGGGACGGGCTTTGTATCAGTACGTTGACTAATCCAGCTTTGACCAGGACATGGTTTCATGGGGGTAACGTTTGTGTTTTTGTTCTCGACACAGCAGCGGATACGGGGCGTCCCAGGGCGGGAGGGCGCGGTTCGCAAGATCAAATCTTGCGCAACCGTGATGATATGGCCTGCCGCCCTAGAGGGACTATATTTATGCTACTGGCCGCTTCAGTCTGCTTGCCCCCCTCGGTTGACTGGCTGAGGAGTGCATGTATGTGCTACAACTCATGGGGAGTGGTTGTAAACTATATTTGGGGGGCGGGGAGGAGGGGAGGGTATTACACAGACAGACAGCATAGCATGGCATGGTATAGCAAAGGTGGGATCGACGCTATGCCAAGTGCGCGGTCGTCTGGTGGACATTTGTGAGAGGAGACGCTGGACGTGGGAGATATAACGATGCCGTCGAGGGGGATTTCGGCCCCCCGGCAATTGTTTTTGGATGCCGTAGGATCGAGCTGCCTGCTAGACCCGTGGCCGCTGTAAGGAGAGACAACTCAACTGACCATCTCGGGGCGATTGCGTACCCAAAGGTGGATATGGATCCGTAAAAAAGCACGCACGTTGTGCATCTATCTGTACCGAAGAAGCTTGGCCAGTGTCGCACACCGGTGGCAACCCTGCGCCGCTGTATCTAGGTAGTAGAGGGTTTCCCGGACATCTGGCCGAAGACGTCGACGGTTGAGGAGATGATTTCGCCTACCTACTTGTCGAGAGCCCGCTGTCAACGGTTTGAGGCCAGGCCTGGCCGTCCGATGGGCCTGGCGTCCGGGGCCCTAGTAGAGTGGTATCTGTGCGTGTTGTTCGTTGTCTCCGTCAGAAAATTGAAAACGTAGCCTGTGGGACATGATTCGGGGAAATTGGACGGCCGTTACACTGAGCAGTGATTTTCCGCGGTGGCAGTTGATGGGCTTTAGGGGCATCCGGATCATGCCGAGTAATCAGAAGTCATGGAGGTGGGAACTCTCCCCCCTCCAGTGGACATGTACATCGTACTTGTCAATCTGCGGGCTCGGTAGCGTTGCCACTAGCCTAGGGAGGAGACGGTCGTCATCAAATTCCCCGGCCGGCGGAGTCCCCTTTGCTCAAGAACGATGTACGGAGTACATGTGCGGGATGACGGGTTGGTAAGTGCTGAGCTCGTGGTATGTTTGTATGCACACGTATCTGTACGTGGTGGCGCTCCATAGTCCGTGCTCTGGGAAGGGAAACAGACAGGGGCGTGCAAAAGACGGGTGTGGCTGGCGCATCAGCGACTTGAGTTGGCATGAAAAGTACATCGTACATGCATGGTACTGATGCGAAAGATTTCAACACAGGGACTCTCAGCTCGTCGGTCCACCACACGAGCCCGCTTCGGAAAGGCGCGTGTCGCGCTTGGGCGCCACCAAGAAGAGGCATTCCCAGCATCCGGAGAACACGGACAGCGGGAACGAGATTAGTTAGGCGGCGTGGGGCCGACGGTTCCTAGATCGGCACAAAACTAGACTAGAGGATATACGGACATTGGTGGGTGGCAGTAGCCGTAGGTAGTGTAAGTGGGTGGTTCGATATCGGATTTCAGGAGGCGCCCGGACGGACGGACGGACAGACAGACAGGGGGCAGATAATTCGTGTTGGCTCCGGCAAGCCAAAGAAATATGGGAAGCGGCGTAGGTGCGGTGTGGGATTTCAAAGGTTGGCGCAGCGAGCGGCTGACCCAAGTATCGGCGTGTTTGGATGTGGCTGTCTCGTGGCATCAGGCACCCTCCGTGGGCCGGGGGCCCCGTTGACCTCAGCAGGAATGGTAACGGTTGATCTGCCGGCAGTGCAAGATGACGCGAGCTGGAACAGGTCGGTCCAGAGACTCTGAGTTGGCGGCGCGGATCACAGTCTCGACTCCAAAGTTTGGCAGGCCAGGGATCGCGTGAGGAGGATACGACGCTTGGTATCAAGGGTAGGTAGGTAGGCGGACCGTGATTGGTACGTGTACGATACTGCGTATAGTGAAGTGAATAAGTGCAGTCAGCTCGGGCACGCGAATGCAGAGGGCCTCAGAGAGCCAGACTGACAGGGCGAAGAAAAAAGGCGATGGACTTGGCTCAACAGCTCAACAGCCGCCGTCCCACTCAAGACCCCCCACCGGTCAGGGTTCGGATGGTCTGCCGGCATGTGTATAGTGTAGCACATGGCGTTCTTTGGGAGGTAGACAGACGGTCAATGGCAGACGGTCGACGACGAATTGCCGGCTCTGGCCACGATGATGTGTGTTTGATGGATGGGGGGTTGGGTTGGATACCTACCTTCATAGTCGTACTAGTGTTGCACTTTCTTAGTATCTGTACTATGCATATGTACCCGTGTACCATGATGAATGGAAGGTGGCTGCTCAACGACAGGTGCATAGTACTTACGTGCAATGCTCTAGTATAACAAGCTAGCCGGAAGGCGTAGCCGCTCCATAAGGCCACGCATATATTCGTAAGCACTGACTGGCAGCGGAAAGGAGAGAGAGAGAAAGAACGAATGAAGGAGTCGGCTTGGGGTGCGGGACGACAAGGGTCTACGAATATCGAGGAAATGCAACGCAGAGTATCCGTACCCGTCCACTAAGGAGAATAGAGTAAGGCAGAGACAACAACGGCAAGGAAGGGAAGGAAGGGGCAGGCAAGTAGGAGCAGGAGCAGCAGGGGCAGCAGCAGCGGCAGGAGCAACAGCAGGAGCAGGAGCAGCAGGCCCCCCCGGTCCAGACTAGGATCAGGTACCGAACACGGCAAGAACGAGTCCGAGGGATTCGGGACGGCAAGACAAGGCACGCACGACAATGTGGAGGTAGGTATCTACGGAAGTACATCGGAGGATCTCCCTGCCAGACCCGAGAGGCTATGCCACGACCGGGCTAGCGGCAGGGAACCAATGTATGTAACATTGTGCACACTGTACAGTACACGTACGCTGCACTGCACTTGCCCGCACCGCATCGATGCATGATGTCAAGAGAAACCGGTACGGGAGGGTCGGTACGTACCGCCGGACAACTTCCATCACACAGTACGGATACCAGTTATGTGATACTCTGTACCGATGCGATATGCCTAGTATGGACTATTGCTCGCCTGCAGCATCTGGAAAGGGAAAGACGCAGTATGTGTGTGTATAGCTTCCTACCTAGCTGATATACCATATAAGGTCAGGGACTCGAGGAGGTCGGCGGCATCTACAGGTACACTGCCATGTTGCCAAGGTATTGTACATGGTAATTCATAACGGCCGACCACTACCATGTGTGCTGTACTATGTATCATGGGTGCTGTTACAACTATTTACCCGTATTACCTAGGTATGATATGCATGGCGGTATCCCCTTATACAGTTTACCTAGGTACCTATCGTAGCTACCGCACCGCCAGTGTTGTACGGAGGTAGACTACATGCGCAGTAAGCCACTCCCTACTTGGGTACTACATCGTAGTGTTGATGGATGCACAAGGCCCAGGAGATTAAGCAAAGTGCCGTCTGCCGAATTCCAGCGGACTCAGCCCGAGTGCCGATCTCACAGTCAATCTCGTCAACCTGGCCGACAGGTAATGTAATGCTACCTACTCCATCATCTAAACTACTACCGCTGTAAGGACTATGTGTGTAAATATGCATGTATATCCGTACATGTGTGTATGTATACGCGCTGTCGACGATGCCGACTTACATGCAAGGAACGAACCGGTTTGTTGCCAAAAAGAAAAAAAACCCCAAAAAAGACAAAAAAAACCACATGATTGAGGTCATGCATGACCGAGAACATGGTGAGGCTCTGTTCAGCACCGAGTCATTCGAGTCTGAAATGGAAGGAATGGGAGACATGTCGTCCTTCCTTCTTCACACATCTTTGACGTCCAAGGTAGGTACGGTACGGAGTACCTGCCCCCCCATACCCTCAATACCATGCCATAGGGTAATGATTCTCCCACACCACACTCGGAGTGAATGAGTCCTCATTCATATCCACCCCCCTCCTTCAAACCCAGAGACTCGGCGGCCCAAGACCCCCCAACTCAACACTACTCGAGTTTGCATCCTATCGGATATCCTCTCTCATCTAGCGAGCCCCGCTTCTTCACTTTCCAATCCACAGGGTCACGCGCTCACTCGCCTTGTTGCCTTAGGCTCTTTCTTCTCTTCTCACCCCACGGCCAAGCAGTCCGACCATCACCAAAGCGCACAGCGAGAGATTGCGCCCTACCCTGTCCGGCCTGACCCAACCGACCAAGTTCTGGCTGGGCCTGGCCCATCTGTGGTGGTGCCCGGAAGCCTTCCCTGTTGCTGCTGCTGCTAGCATGGCCTGGTGCTTGTTAGCTTTTGGGACCCTTCCCCATCAAAGTTCTGTCATTGAGGTGACGATCTTGTCCATCTTCATAACACCTGTAGCAAAGCCCCCCCCCCTCCCCCCTGCTCTTCAATCTACGCAAATGTTTCCATCCGTGTTGGGACATTGGGAGCGAAACGGAACGTGTCGGGGGGGGGGGGGGGGGGGGGGTAGAGACAGAGAGAGGGAGAGAAGCCTTCTGAGCCCGTTCTGAATGACTCCGGTCGTTGCAGCTGGCGAATGCAAAACCGTTTCCATCCGCATTGCAACACCAACACCTCCAACACCAGGACCCGGGAACTATTCCGTCGACACCACTTCCGGCACGCTGTTTGCCGTGCTATTCCTAGCGTGTTAGGATGGCACACCACCACCAACAACCGTCCGTCGGCCCCTACATCACCAGCACAACACAACCCTCCGTAAGTTTCCCAGCACCATCGTCGCTTGGGGCCGACGAGTATAACAAACTCTGCTCCATCAACAAGGATCGCCACACAAAAATGGCCGGGGGGCTGCTGCTCTTGGGTTTCTTTGCCGACAGATCCCGAGCTGAGATCGCCAGAAACATGCCATCTACGTCGTAAAAGGCACCGACAGGCTTCTCCAATCCCCCTGGGCGGAAAACTCTCCCGGCTAGGCCAAAGCAGATCACCAGAGCAAGTCTAAACAAAGCAAAACACAACAACAGCACAGAACACACGATGCAGACAAGACCTTGAACTTTCCGCAAGTCTACCTGTGCCAAACACGCATACAGCATACTTTTGCTTGCTTCAGAGGCATGGTGCCTGCCACAAGCATCCTCTGTTCTCTCTTTTTGTCTCTCTCTTTCTCTCTCTCTCTCTCTCTCTCTCTCTGACCGTCTCTTGTTTGGAAACGATCTGATCCCGCCTGATCAGTCATATCAAGCAATACCGAGTGAAATGAGATAGGGAAGAAACGGTGAGGCGAACCCTACTTTGACGGTCAGACGAGCTTGGCTTCCGCTTGACTTCCTCGGCATATGCGGAACATCCAGTCTCCAGACTCTGGCCCTCCAACCCTATCTATTCCCCCCCCCCCCCCTCAGACGAACGCTGATGAGCCGGCATGCTTGTTCCCTCCCTCCCCCGTCTCCTCTCAGCTCCCCAGGTTTGAGCCTCCACCAAGGCCGACAAGCTGGCCGCAGGAACCAGAAGCGTGCTGGAGACACGCTCGAAACCACTGTGGATGGATGAATCGAGTCTTTGAGAGACCGCATCCCGCCACGGTCGCACGCAGACATTCCGTTCTGGTCATCAACTGAAGCAGGGCGCTATTCGCGCGACTCTTGCCGTGCCACCTACTTCTCTCTTCACCGCGCTCAACGCGCTACAGTCTCGCTCCGACACTAAAAAACGACGGTGCCACGGCTCGATACCCTCCCGTGCAGCAGCCCAAGACTCGGAATCGAGGCCTGGTCCCTGTTACAAGGCCCCCCCCCCCCCCCTTTTCAAGCCCCTGGTTTACAGGTAGATGCGGTGCGGCCACAGCGACGTCGCCCAAATGCAATTGGTTCCTGGCTGTTTTCTCTCAAGGCTCCTTGGCTCGAGGTGTCGATGATTTGCTTGTTTCTTCCAATGACATCGGACTGTCACGTCAGGGCAAGCCACTGGCGCTCATTACTGTTCATCAACGACGACGCGCCATTCATCTCGCACACGCGCACACACATATACACAAAACCCACCCGTCCGTCCATTCGCCAAACCTTGTAACGACAGTCTCGGAAGCGGTGGCGCTAAAGAAAGAAGCTTGAACCTCCAGGGCCGCCCCCCAAGCCTGGAGCCGGTTACCCTTTGTCCAGCCATAAAGTCCCCCTCCGTTAAGTCCTCACATCCTGGCCCCTTCTTTTCTCCACACACATCCGGGCGGAACTCGACGAACCCGCTGTGGAGGCCCGTTTGGTTCGCCGCCATGTCCCCGGTTGGCGTGGCTCGTAGAGCGACCGAGCTTTGCCCTCTCTCTCACTAGTGTAGTGAGCGTATCTGCTCCTTGCACTCGTATGGGTTCTCTGCATCCATGATGAGAGGATCTAGAATGTCTCACTGCCCGGGCCATGCCGCCATGCAAGATACCATAA